AAGCAGTTATATACAAATTTTTGCCCGAGGAAAAATGAAGTCTGAGTTTGGAAAATGGAGTAGCATCTTTCTGGCAAAAGTTCTGGGAGGGTGTTTTATTTGTGTTGTGTATGCTGTGTATCCAGCTCTCTGGTGTCAAAGCTTAATAATGCTCTGTGAAGAACTCTCATTACTATCCATATCACAAGACCATAGTGTGTATCAGCGCCTAAAATTCAAAAGAAATAGAAATACATATGTATAGGAACTTGATTTGATGTGAAAAGATGCATTTGAAGACCGTGAAGAAACAGAGTTTATTAGTAGATACGTATCCTGTCTTTGAAAAATATCTTTCACTCTTGCTGATATTTTGCTCTAAAGAAGTTTGGTAAGTCAATAGAAGTGTTTTCAACAACTAAAACCAAAATCTGATGAGGTAAGCTCAGAAAGCTAGCTGTTTAGAAAACTAATCTAAACTTCATTTCCTTTTTACATTTTGGGTTTTGAATCATGAAGGTTTTAAATTTTCCATATTTTCTCCATAGCGCTATTTTTGTTTGTTTGTTTGTTTGTTTTCTGGTGGAAGCTAAAATTCTCAAGCAAATGAATACAATCCTAAGATTTGAAACAAATGAAGTGAAATACTGTTTGTGATTCTGAACAGTAAGTTGATTGTTTGATTTCCTATCACCACAGGTAAAGTAAAGAAGGCATTGGAATAAAATTTATTTGGGCATTTTTTCAAGTATTCCTTGGAGGGTAATACTGAAGACTTGTTTCTCCTTGTCATCTGTCTTCATGTTGAAAAAGAGCATACAAATGCTGGTTTGATGTGTTATCATTGAAGTTACTGAGTTGTATTCAATGAGGTAGTAAGTGGATTGGCCTGTGAAGCAGAAGCACTTTGATACTTGAAATTCTGTGGAAAAATGTCACTTAATCGCAATGATTTTTTGTTTTTATGGAGCATCTCTGTTAAGCATATTCTTAAATAAATTGTATGAGAGTGACACTTGCAAGTGTCCTGAGACATTCCTACGTTTGTGTTGCTGGTACAAAAGGTTATAAGTGATAAAGACCAAAATTTGTCTTTTGGTAGTGCCCATGGAGGTTAGGAACAGCACCTGTAGTGCATCTCATCTGGTGCTGTTACTGGTTATGATCTCTATAGTGAAGATATGGCAGGAATTTCTGTCCCAGATTCACAGGTGGTGAAGAAAGAGGAAGAGAATATGCATCTGTGTATACCAACAGGGAGGAATTCCTGAGAATACTTCATATACTCAAGGTGCACGGTGTCTTGCAGGGGCTGTCTTCTAGGACTCCCAAAAGACAGAAGTATTTTTGAGGAAAACACAGTGCCATTTGCTTTTCATTTATTTATTTATTTTTCTTATGTGGCTTCTCAGGAATTTTTGCTGGCTGGCATCTTTTCAAAACAAGATGCCTTTCCATGGTAAGAACTGGATAGCAGTGCAGAACAGTAGTGCTTTTAGACTATTTTTAGCTGTATGAAATCTCAAGCAATAATCCAAACTGATAAACTTATGGAACTGGTTTGGTCTCCAAAGTTTCTCTTCCTTCCTCCTACCTCCCTCCTACCCCCCAAATGCTTGATATCAGCATTTTTAGAGGCCAGTTAATTAGTGCTTGGTGAACGTAGCTGCAGATTGTAAATTGCAAGTCAGAGTTCATGTTGCACAATTCTACATGAAAAAATTTCTTGAGATATTTTTATCTGCTACTGCCAATATATAAAATGGTCCCAAATGTCATGTTCCTTTTTCCTCTTCTTTCCAAATTGTTCCATATAACATATGCAGGACCAAAGTTTCCCTCATTGTTTTCTAGGTGGGTAGTCAGCACTTTTAAGCCTAGTTATCACATCAAAAGCAGGTAAGGCAGTAGAGCATGTGAAAATTATTTCAAGGAAGGATGCCATTCTATTCAGTTCGTTGTCTAAATTATGGATGAGTTTTTCCCTTCAAGATAGAGAGGTATGTTTCAAGAATTTTAGCCTATATTTTTTTCCCTCTTTTCCCTCCAACAGTAAAGATTTTATATTGATAATTTTCTGCCTGAGATAAACAGAGACTCTTTGCTGAAATATATGAAAAGTGGTTTTGGTCCTGGCAAACCCTGTAATTTTAGCAGAACAACAAAAAAAAAAAGTCACATTTATTAATCCCCAAGTAATCAAGGACAGGGAGTACTTGTGCAGCAAAGAGCACTTTGCACAGAGTCAAGCTGTACACTCTGTCACCATGTCCTGTGCGATAAATAGAAAAGTCCCAAAAGAGAAAGGAGATCTGAAAACAAAACAGAGGCAAACAGTTCCAATCAAATGGACAAACGGACACTGCTAGATAGGTGCTTTGGCTTCTCTATAATAGTGATCATTTAATAACAAGTAGTATATACTAGGTAATATCAAGCAATATGTTTTTTGTTGTTTTGTTGTGTGTTGTTTTTTTTTTTTTTTTTTTTTTTTTGAAAGGATGTTAATGTTGTGTTGCCCCATTAAAAGCAAAGCAACTAGATTCAGCAACCAGCTGAAAAAGGGAGTATTGTTTTTGACATAGATTTTAGCATGTTAATGTGCTTTCTCAAACTGGGCCCAAAGTAGGTTGAGGCTTAAAACTGAAAAAATTATATATATTTGATCAGTAAAGATGATTTGAGTTCTTAGATGTAAAAAGCAAAAGAAGCGCTTCTGAGAGGGAAGAGCAAAGAAGAACATGTACATATGGTTGTTGTGGATTTTTTTTTTTTTGGATGTGAGGCATCCATTAGGAAGACCAGAGCAGAGGCACTGAAGAAGATCCCTAAAACAGAAGTTTATATCAGAAGTTTATATCACAGAAAACTTTATGCTTCACTTTCAATAACAATTGCATTCCCAGTGGAATTTTATATGACACGAAAGTTAAGCTTCACTTTAATTAATGATTCTATTCCCAGCAGAGCAGCAGCTCCCTGTCATCATGTGAATGCTTAGGGGAGACAAAAGAAGAATGGGTTTTTCAACCTAAACCTTTACTAATTTTTTAGAACAGAAGTTGGTATTGTATGTGTATTTTTATCCTTCTGTAGCATCACTGTCCAAACCAAGAATGGGAGTATATACGCATCAAACAGCAAGGGAAGCTTGCAGAAACAATTTAGTTCCTACCAGCATACCCTCTTGTGTGTAGTGACATGTGTACCTAGCCTGAACAGGGATGGGGGGTATATCACATACATAGCACATATCATAGCACATATGAACCTGCTAGGTGAAAACAGTAAGTTGTGTGTGCTTCCTGTATGTCCCATGGTAAATCTGTCCTAGTTTAAGCCATATAAAGAGGCAGCAAGCAGTACTCTGTGCCTGCAGTTACAAAATGTCATGCCTACTCCTAACCTCCAATTGGTCAAGATGCAATTAAGCCGTAATTTATCAGAGGTTTTCACATCACTGAGAAATGAGAGAGAACAGACTGCATCCGATGAAACAGAAAGCTTAATTTATGATTATCTTCTCTCTATAAAGCACCAGTGTGTGCATAAATGATCAAATAATACCCGCACAACTGGGCGAAGGGAGAAGGAGAGAGGGGAAACAGGCAGCAGGTGGGAGGGGCCTTGGAACAAATCCCCCAGCCTGTGGACACATTGCTTCTAACCCAGGCCTGTGCTGGGCAGAGACAGAATGACAGGCAATGCATCCTGCATTCCCTTACAGCACCACAAACCACTTCTTAGGGATGAAGATTTCTTAGCAGCTCTGTTTTAGTAAACACCATGAGCAAAGATGAGTTGAGCTATTGTACAGGAAATGGCAAAAAATTCTAGCCTAACCAGCACTGAAATTGTTCGTGAAAGTACACTATACGCTGAGGATGATAAATCTGTGTCAAAAACAAAACTGCTTGCGTTACAGAGAGAGAAGCATGACACAATTGTGAAAGTGTGGAGAGGCAAATTGGAAAACTAGGACGCTCTTCTCGAGGTGTGAAAAAAACAGGAGTATAAATACTGTCCGGTGCCTGTGAAGTGGCTGTGACTGCTTTCCTGTCAATCTGCTAATTGCTTTAGAGGAGCCTTGATGTGGCAGCTGATACAGAAAGTAAATAAGTGCTTGTTACTGCATTAGAATGAAGCTTAATTCTTTCTAACGAGAAAAAGTTTGTCTGGCTGCGTGTGCTGTACAACATTCCATATGGTATATTACATCTTGTAGCAAGAAGTTGCCATTCTCAAGCTATGTATTTATCAAGATGTCCGTGGTTCATCATTAAGTCCATAAAGGTTCAATCAGAAGCTAAAATAGCCCCGTGTTTTACCTGCTTGTGCATTTTTATCCTTTTCATCCCAGATGAAATGGGTTTTATAACACCATTAATAGCGGGCTGCACTGCCTGAGAATTGCAGTCTTACCTTTTGGATAGGTTTTTGGGGCATGTTTGTCTTACTGGAGTTCAGAAGTGTTAAATTTGCTGAAGGGGGAGAAAATAAATTATATTTTTAATGTTGATCCCCTCTACTAATTTACATCTAAAACTTTACAGCCTTATCAAGAGGGAGGTTATCTTCTGAAATCAGTGGGAGTTTAGGTAAATATATTGCAGCAATGTAGTATGTACATCTATGCAACAGTTACTTACTTTGCATAAATACACAGCTGTCACTTAGCATTGAAGAATTTTAATTGTCTTCATTATTTGCTTGGTTTATTCTGTCAGTGGTGATATCCAGTTGTGGCATTCAGTGCAACTACCCTATCACGTTCCGTCTTTTTTGATCTATTTCTGTTTCACTTCCCTGTATAGTGTATGTTTCTTCTTTCTAGATCCACCTCTATCTCATACTTTTACCCACCCTTCCCTAGAGCTTGAAATTTCTAGCTACCATAGCTAGAAATTAAATAACCAATGCCCATATGAAGTGTGTTTGTTTTATCACTATTTACTATAGCTTCTACTACAGTTTGTACCATGAGCTCCAACTGAATTCGGGATGCCTTTGTTTAATTGCAGTTGCTGGCCTGTTTGCAATTCCAGCTGCTGTTTTAGAAACATTTGTCTGTTGTGAGCTTGGAGTCTAGCAAGAAAAAGTGGGTTGTTCTTCAGAGAACTTAAAAGGTATGTGACAGAGCATTACACATCCAGCATTATAAGGAATATATTGTACTTTGGGAACTTCAAATTACAGCATGTGACCCATAGATGTTACAGTAAAGTAGCTGCCAAAGTTCGCCTGGCAGATTTAGTAAGCAAATATCCCCACTAGTGAAATAGTGTCATTTTTCATACTGCATTTCTTTCCCCTTTGGGACCTACTCAGGCCTCACACTGTCTCTAAATTATTAAATTAGGTCTTCCTTGATCGTCCAAAGGTCATGGTGCCTAATGTGTGTTAATGTGATGGAAATGTCAGACACAATTAGTTTCAGTAGTAAAACATGGTTTTATAGCCCTAAATGCAATAAATTAAAATGTGCTGTAGACTGCTGTAGTCAGGGAAATTTCTGCACCGTTAAGGTTTGATGAGGAAGTTCATGTCCTCTTTGGGTAGGAATGGGGAGCGCTGGAGGAGGCGGTATGACATGCTTCACCTCCGTGATTGCTATTGCTCCTTGTTTGAGAGATTATATATCAAATGGGCATATAACCTCAGAATTCCACTTTTTCTCACAGGCAGTTGGGCTTTGTGCTGCTTGCATACTCCGCTTGCTGGAATCTTTCTGCTGAGAAAATTCCAAGCCACATTTTAGGCATCAAACATCTTTAATCTTGGTGCTGAGAAGGATGCATGCCATCAGAGATGGATCTGTTTCTATGCAGCTTGCTACTGAAATTTCAAACTTCTGCCATGAAAAAATCAGCTATAAATAGCTCTGAATGATAGAAGTGAGTAACCTAAGATGGAGCAATAAAACTGACTGAATTGCCATGTTCTATGATCTGTCTAATAGAGTAAGATTTTACAATTAACTGCTACAGTATCTGTTTCCTGTCTGCAAGTGGGGCGGGGGAAGAAGCACATAAGCCAGAGAGGGATGGATCAATTTTAATTGAAACTTCTGGTAGCTTTGCTGTTGAAAGATTAAGGGGAAAACAAAACAACAACAACAACAAAAAAAAAAAGCCCAGCAACCACCCACATGCACAAGCCAATTTGCATTTACAGGGTATCCTGAACTGTTGCAAATTTAGACGATGCATCCAGAGCAAGTTCTTTCAGTGGCCAGGAAGCAAAACAATTTCCTCTTTCACTCATGAAAGTGATCCTTATGGGAAAACTATTGCCCTCTTAAGTGGCAATTCAGTGTTTTTAATAGTCCTGCATTATTCATGGAGAATCATCTCTTGTGGGTTGCAGTTTGAGAAGGCAAAAAGAGGCTTCCTCTTTTCTGAGAAGGAAGACATTGCACAAATCATTTTGTGTGAAAGAGAAGTTGGCCAAATATGAAAACCTTGAATCAAAACCTTCAAATCTGACAGTTAGTGGGGATAAGTCAGCAAATCTCTCAAGTGGTTCAGTGCTGAGCATCGTGCAGTTTTCAAGGGAGATCTGCTGAAATACACTGACACAAATATTAGGAGGCATATTTAATTCTGAGGCAAAGACATCAAGAAAAAGTGAGAAGTAATAGGCAGAAATCAGAAGAGTGAGGCTGAAATGGTGAATGCTATAGTGGTCCCTTTGGGAGCAGGTAATCAAATGTATAAATATAAGCTCCAAGAGTGCTGATTAGGAGATGGAAGTGAAGAAATGATAGAAGCGAAGATGTAATTTGGGAGTGAATGTCAAATTGAACTCGACTGCATAATTCAATACTGTCATGAATTGCAGTGCTCTAGTAAATAAATAGCAGACATTGGTGTGGGAGCACTGCTCCACCAGGGGTGAATGTCACCTGGGAAACACCTGCTTCACTCTCTGTGTTTTTAAATCCAGTGCATGTGGCTGTGGGGAACCTTGGCCCTTTAATTTGACTGCTAGTACTAGTAGGATATTTATCTCCAAACCATGTAGTCGACCACAATGCGTTTCTTCTCTTCTGTGGTTTTATTTATTTTTTTTTTTTTTACCTGGAGGTTGATGTTAGGCACAAATGCTACATATGGAGTGTTTCCTTCTTTCATTCTTTCTTCTTATACATATAGATACTAGATTTGATTTTTTAAAAAATGAAGAGGCCTATGCAAATTGCAATAAATCCCTTAATCTACTAGAGTGTTTCTGCAAGTAAAGATCTCATTGGCTTTAATATGATAATTTGGGGATTTAAAGTTAAATATATGCATAAGTGATTTGCAAAATCAAGGCCATATTAAAGATGTTATCTGAACTGATTTGTTGTTAGAGTGATTTCAACTCTGTACTCCCTCCTCCCCCCATAATGTGTTTTAAGGTCTTTCATTTAAAACTGCAAATTGACCTAGTAATGATCACTGACTAGGGTAGAAAACATATTAAGAGAGAGCAGTCAGTCAGAGAAATCATCTGCTGCCCAAAGAAAAGGCAAGATATGGAAAGATAGTTTCTTGTTATTTTTAAGGCTGCTTGAAATAATTACTGCATTTTTTTTTATCATCTATTGTTTGGGAGGGGAAGAGTTATGGGCAGTCCCTCGTGTGTGTATTTCTGTGCATTAGAATTTACTTCCTACCAAGTCAGCACATGCTCTTATCACCCCCCTTTTTTCTAGGCAGAGAATTCAAGGCATGGGACATGTATACAGCTTGTTCAAGCCCTGGATGGTTCCACAAGTGGGCTGGGGAATGCCTGCTGCTGCCTGAGCCTGGCCTACACACGACCAGCCCAGCAGACTCTCTGAAGTCTCTGTCAGAAAATCCTCCCTAAACCCACATCATTTGGTGCCAGATCCATTCTGATGCTGTTCTCTGCAGTTCATAGCTTTTGTTCTGCTGGGACTCGAAGGCAGATCATTACCTAACAGGGACTAGTTCTGATGGTTTGAGAGGGCATCCCAGCTGTGAACAGCTGGATGTTTTGCCCATGAGATAAGAAACCTGATAGATGGAAATGGCCGATGTCATGAAACTGTCTTAAAATTATTATTGTATTGTTCTTTCATCCCAAATCATTTCTCCCAGAAAAAGTGTATTAAAACACATGGATGACATTCTAAAAGTGATGCAGGGAAAGTCTGCTGGGCAAAAATGATATACTATGTGCTAACGATATTTTGCATGGCAATTATAAATGTTGTCCTGTTTGGGGGATTGATACCCTTTTCCAAAGTTCTTTACTGGTTAGTGATTTAAATAATTTTATATGCACAAGGTGAAATCTCAGCTCTATTGAGTCACTTTGTTAAATTACCCTAGCAGAGCCCTCCTCTCAGTTTTAAGAAAACTTCCTGAAGCTTTATGCCTCCTCTGTGTTTGTGCTGCGGGATGATTTGTTTCATTGGGAAATAAGAGTTTGTTAGATTTGTTCGTGGCATTTTTTGATCTTAAATGGTGGTTTCCTTATAAATCCACAACCTATTTCAAAGAGGTCTATGAGAAGTAAACGAAAAAGTGAAGTCTGTAGGCTGAAAGGTTATCATGTAGGAGTCCAGCACAACTGGAGCACGTTAAGGAATATTTAAAAAGAATCTGACATCTATTTGCTTAAAGCCCTCCCTTTGTTGCAGGTTCCTACAAAATGGATTCCTTCAGCTTTTTGAATTTAGTGTGAACTGCACAGAAAAAACTTGTCGTCTGATGGTGCTTTCCCTTACAGGAATCTTTCCTAGCATCGTTCATCGGTCTGAAAGTACTGTTTGTTTCCACTCCCAGGATGCAGGCTGGCCTCAGTAATGCTCAAAACTTGGCTAAGTTTTGTTCCAAACCACAAAAAAGCTTTCTAGGAATTCTGCCCAGATTTTCTGAAAGATACTCTAGTGTCTATGTTCGTATCTTGAGTTTCATCTTTCTGTGATGAAAGTCAAATTCAAATAACCTTGCTTGATCTGGAGTTCAGAAATAAGGTTTGTTGTTTTGCTCTCTGTCTCTCCAAATAGGATGTTATTTTTGCTACTAGGTTTCTTTACACTTTACCAGTTGTCCATATACTACAGCAGAATGAGTTTTCTTTTTGTAATCTCCCCATTCCCATCACAAGTTCATGTTGCACAGCAATATTATTCCTTTTATTTCTTGCAAGGAATCAGGATTGTAAAGGGGAACTTAAAACTGCAAGGGAAAAGCAAGCTGGAGCTTTGATTGAGGCACAGAAAGGTTTTTTATGTCTTCTCCTCTCAGGGCTGCGTTTTGGCACTCTGACTCTTGGCCAGCATATGTCCCTGTTCAGCAGAAGGAATCATTCAAGCAATCTGTGCTAAGACTTGTCAAAGTCTAAATTAAAATGCAGCTATCTTATCCTGGTTTTGTGCTAGGCTTTTACAGCGCTTTTCCTGCTTGTAAACTTCAGAAGAAAAAAAAAAGTTTTGATGATAATTGGGATTATTGATTATTTATCTTACTTTATATCTATGAAATGAACATTTTGTATCATTTGTCTCTCAAGAGAAAAAGAAGATGGTGATAAGATGATTTCCACCAAAGGAGAGTCCCTCTAGCATAATTGTCTTATGAGATGATGTAAATGTACTTCTATTTTTAATTAGTTGCATTTGTGATCATAATTTGGTATGTCTCTCTTAATCCACCAAATCTCCACAGAATGATATAAGACTGTTGTCCCATGGCTCCCAGCTTCATTGCATTTTATTATAATCACCTTCATTATAAGAAAACCTCTTAATTATGCTCAAAATACTTTGAAGTCGAGAACAGTGCTGTAATGAGTTGAAATGTATAGATGATATTTTCCCCACTGTAAAGAAAATGTACAAGGCAGTACATAGAGTGCTATGTAACTTGAAGAGTGTGCTTGTATCAGGAAGCAAAAAAGTTGACTAGAATTCAGCTCCCATAAATTAAATTCCCTGTGCTGCAGCTGACTAGCCACACGACTGTAGGGAATACCCTTATTCTTTTTGTACATTTCCCCCTTTGATAAAATAAGAATAATGTGACTGCAGAGAGGCTCAGTGATGCTTAAATCTTATTTTCACAAAGTGGTTGGTGATCCTCTAAGGAAGAGTGGATATAAATGTAATTATTTATTATTTCGTCTTTTTAATCTTTTGAAGTGCGTGAGCGTTGCTAGATTCTGTCAGCTTGGATACATATAGGTGTAGAGAAATTACAATTACAGGTTTTCCTAAATAGCAACAATATTTATTTTGTGAGTCTGCAATGCCAAGGGAGCTAGGCAAAATTTAGGGTAGTAGGTGTAGTGATAGGTATCACTGGAATGTGATTGTCAAACCTTGTCCCTGAAGAGGGTTTCACAGCTCTTCAAAGAGCTTTAGGAATGGATTTAGCAGCGTGGTATGCTTTGTTCACCTGCTTGCTTATGTTTATTTTTTCATGTTTTTTTATATACAAGGATTGGTGTTTAACTCTTAAATGCACTTTGGGTTATGTTTTTTTTGTTTGTTTGTTTTGTTTTTTTGTTGTTTGTTTGTTGTTTTTTTTTAGCTTTAAAAGTAATTATATGAAAGCAAGCATTGTGCTTGTTGGTTGGGAGCAGGGCGGGCGAGGGGAAGATGGAGAGAGAGGGAAACTGAGTGCTAAGAAACATTGTCAATAAATATTTGTGAGCTGTTACAAAGATGACCGTTAGAAAATTCTCAGATGAGCTTAGCAAGAAGTGCTCCCTGTTGTTCAGAGGATTGCAAGTCTTTAAAAGCACTCTGGCCTCAGAAAGTAGCCATAATAGCCAATACTGACAGATGGTATTAAAAACACAGGCAGGGAACCAGCATGGTTTTGATCCTTTACTCCCGTTACAGGCTCTTCAGTGCATGCCTCGTGGGTTAATTACTTGAGCTCTCACAGAAGGAATCCTGGCTTCTGGTGTAGCAGCTTGTCGCAAGACGTGGTACGAAATCGCACATGATTTTGAGGCTTGTAGCCTGTGAATGTGTGTCACCCTGGAAACCGTTTGCACCTGCAAGCATGAGTCATAAGAGCTGAGGAATTGCGGGGTGAGTTTCAGTCTTTTCTGAGCATTAGAAATTGTTCGTCGACAAAGACACATAGATAGAAGAGCTCTATTCTGATGTTTCAGGTGGGCATGACCAAAGCACCTCCATGGTTCACCTCTATCCCACTGCACTGCACCTGCACACCAGCTAAAAGCCTGCCTCCTTTATTTAACTTCATCTGTTTTAGATGGTGACTATTATATCTGTACTTGATATTTAAGAAAACAAGGCATAACTTGTCAGCACCTACAGCATTTCATTTTTGGGTTGTCAGACACTTGCTTAGAACACACACAAAAAAAAGTACCTTTTTTGTAGTTTAAGAAATGAACTTGTCAGAAGTAAAGCATATCTTAAAATTCAGAAACAGAGAGTACAGGGAGCTTGCTGATAAGCTGGCATTTTGCTCTGCAGATATCACTCTAATAAGAATGGTATTTGTCCTCTTACAAAAACTGTTGTGATTTGAGGAACAGGAGCTTATTATAAATTGGATAGCCTCAGTGGCTTTAGAGCGGAGCTGACAATTAACACCAGCTGAGGATCTGTTCTTAAAAGTTTTACCAATGAGATATTGCTGTTTTGTAGCACCTTTCATCCCTGTATCTCATAGTGATTTGCAAACATTAATTAAGTCTCACAGCACCCCTCTTATGTATATAAGTGTTGTTCGTCTTAGAGATGTGTGAAATATTCATGACAAAATTGGAGGCATTCTGAGTTTACCCCTCTTACAGGCTCAAGGATATTAAAGAAATGCAAAGTTATTTGAGATTATCTGCATCAGAGAATTTTTTTCTTTTTCACTCTTTGCATATATGTGTTCACAACCAAAGTGTCTATGATGTATGTATAGCCTTCTTGTAATTGTTCCAATTTCAACAGGAGTGTTTGGAGTACTTTCACATAGTTGTTGCATTTCAGTTCTTTGTATTTCGTAATTAGCTGGATCTAAATATGTGTCCACTACTAAAAAGGAATTTCAGGTGAGTGACTCCCTGTCCACTCAAAAAACCTGCAACTTTATGTAGAAATTGTTTGGGCAAAGATACATTATGAACCTGTAATAGGATGAAGAAAGATGTGGAGCAGGAGGTAGAGGTACCAGTCTACCAAAAGACCACAAACAGCCTGCTGGAAGTGAGTTGCAGATTTCCTTGGGCAGAACATCATACGCTAGCAGAAGGCATATTTGAAGAAGGAATGGTCCTATGCCATGGTGCTAGTTCTAGAGATGAGCTCAGACTTATCCACTGGCTACTTCAGGACTCTGGCTTGAACCTGTGTCTGTAATGCTCTACATGATGAGTGCCATTTTCCCATCTTGGAAGGGTGCGGTGATTTTGCTAAGGGTCTATCAGGAATGATGTCAGAGTTCATATTACAGACCTTGAGAAGTGTTGCAGGCATCTTGTGCTGGTTACCTGCCCAAGTGCAAACCTTATTTCTACAAAGGAAAATAAAAGGCAGGAAAGAAGTGGTTCTCTAACGAGGAAGAGAACCAAACTATGAAGCGCTGCTTTGTGTGGGAGAGAAGGAGCAAGGTGTGGGGTGTTTTGCCAGTCTCAATACATTTTGGGGGAAGTGTGAGACTGAAGCTTAAATCATGGCAACCTTTTCAGCTCCCTGCTACATTTAAGAATATTATAAAGATTGTCCCCTATGCAAGTATTAGGCAGGGAGAAGTGAATCAAATATATTTTGCAGCTATTGACTTTAGACAGCAAAAAGGTGCAACATTTGGCTTTCTAGTTAGGTCTGCATGATAGACATAATGTTGTGTTGCATCGTAACTGTTAATTTGGAGGGGAAAAAAAGGGGGGGGGGGGGGGAAAGAAAGAGTGCTGTGTTTGTATTTAATCTAGTTAGGATCAGTTCCCTTTTTAGTTACTACTGTATTTTAAGAAGGCAATTTTTCAGCTCTCTGCTAATGTAATTTATCACCTGCATTCAGGGCTCTGACAAGATACTGGCCCGTGTGTTGTGCATAGTAATTGCTGCTGCCCTCTTCAGATTTGCTCTCTGTGTTCTTCCTATAGCTGGAATACTTCTGCTCCCATCTCTCCTTTTCTGGCAAGGATATATTAATGAAGCAAAAGCATCAGCTTCTCATCACAAGCAATATATACAGTCTGTGAGTTTTCTTTTTATAAAGTGAGGCATGTAGAGACTTGGTATAAAATGTATTACATCCTCAAAATGAAAAATTTGCTGTATTGTCCAGTTTGAGGAACAACATGTAATAGTGTAATTCATTAGGGACCAGGTACAAAAGAGTTGGCAATTAGTTCTGTGATTAAAACCTGCTGACCTACCCATGACTGCTGGATGCATAATTAAGGCAGGTTCTTTATAGACTACTGTTTATGCAGGCTGATTACAAATAATCAGTATTTGAGCGGTTCGTTTACATGACAGATCATTACAGGCTCCTCAGCCTTTTCATGATCTAAAGGGTATGGAGGGTGTGGCACCAGTGTAGTTTGGGCATAGCTTGAGTCCTAAATTCAACTTCTCAACCTGAGAATCTCAATCTAAATATTCAAATTTCAATATTTACTGACTATAATTTCCAGTTACAGTTAATTCTAAGCGGTCTGAAAATTAAAACACAGCTCAGCTTTTATAGCAAAGTAAAAGCAATTAGCAAGAGTAGATGTAGAATATCAACTATCCTTTTGGTTCTGGGAATTGCCATTACGATAATCTCAGAGCAACTCTGTCCCATCGTCACCCAGGCAAGTTCCATGTTGGAGAAATTAAATTGGAAAACAACACTCATGCAAAATATTACAAACAAGGAGTTGTATACAGAAAAGTTCTTCACCTGAATATTTCTATTTCTGAGAAATGAATGTAGATTCTTACATCTTCTTAGAAGAGAAAGCACATTTTTCTGGATCCCTTGGGTGATGGATAATGAAAATTCTCTTGGATTTTTACCATCTCAGATAATCACGTATACACAGAGAATTTACAACCTCTCTGCTTATTGCTGAAAGTGAAGTTCTCATGTTAGTACAACAGAGATCCAGAAATAATTGCAGTCTCATCATGAATATGAACATCCAGCTGGGATTTAAAATCTCAGTGATGGAGCGCAAAGGGTAATGCATTAAAGCTGAATTCTCATTAGTGAATCGAACCTCCACATTGTGGTAGGTACAAAATGTCTATGCTAGTTGGAAATTAAGGGAGCGAGAGCAGAAAGAAAGAAGCAAAGCTTCTGAGAACTTAGCAAGAAAAATTATAAATGTGTTTGTGCAGGACGATATTTTTAATGAAGTCCCTAAAACCCTAGTCATAACAAACCATTCTCCTGCAGCTCGGACAATCAAGGTTAGAGTTATTCTATTCTCATCTTTGCCTTTTGAATTGGATGGCATAGCTACAGATGTTGGCCTGAAGACAGGTCTATTTCATAGGGTCTTTTAGTCTTCTGATATTAGTGAGCTCTGTGCTGCAATGGGAACTAAATTGTGCACAGATTTTGCATAACAAAATTTTTCCTAAACAAGTATTCAGTTCGAATTTCTTCTGTCAGACGATTCTCCAGAACTAGGGCCACAAATATCTTCCTAATTAAAATGTCAGAAAAATGGATATATTCCCATGAAGTAAGTATACGTGCATGTGCCAGTCCTCACAGTATATTGTGAATGGTTTGAAGACCACCTTCTTTATCAGTGCATTCACTTCATCCATCTGTGTTGTCAGCTAGAACCACTGACTTCCATGAACTTAGTTTGAAGTAATTGCTCTCTTGATAACTGCAGCCATTCTTCACTGTCTGACAAGACAGTCAGAACTGACAGCTTGGCCATCTATGGGAGGAAGAAGCAAAAAAGAAAAGTGACAGGCCCCTGGAAGTCAGTCCTCTACTCAGATCAGCTCGGGAACAAGTAGTAAAGAAGTATTTGGTCCTCAGAACATATAAAATATATTTGCGATTTCACATCTGGAAAGGAGAACATTCAATCCAAATAAGTAGTTTTAGGAAAATGGTCCCACCAGTGATGGGAAAGGAGGAGTTGTAAAAAGACGGGTTACAACACAATCTGCTTAACTAGCTTGTGTGAGAATACCCAGCACTGCTGGGCTCCTTAGGGTCTGTGGGCTTGCGCTCTGCTGGTTTTGTCATCAAGCCCCATTCTGCCAGTTGCACAGGGCCAGTTCATTTACGCATTGTTACTTTGCTGATGTTTGGTTGTTTCTTGCTTCCTTCCCACAGATGGTGCAGATTGGATGCTTTGTACAAAAAAACAAAAAACTTAAGTGACAGAAGTTCAAAAAGTTGTGAAGGAAGTTGTGAAAATTCACAATATTTTAAATCTCCAATTCATTATGTCCCTGAATATAAATATAAGATTTTAATATATTTCTGAATAAGGTGGCCAAGATAGGAAAGCATGAAATTCATATGTTTAAACTTTTCCATGGACCTTACATTCAATGTGATTCAAATCTAGTTAGATTCATTTTCTGTATTTAAACAACAATCACTTGTTAACGGCAGGGCACTGACAAAACTGTCTTACTACTTCATTCCTCGGTACCTATGAATTTCATTGAGAAAGTATATATTAACCAGCCCTTCCTTTTGCATGCCTGTTAGATTATTTTATTTATTTATTTACCTTATTTACTTTTGTTAACTTCCACAACATGGATTTCTGCAGAGTCATTTCAAGTTGACATGAAGACATTTGACTCCTAAGATATTTGATTCAGCACCTTCTGACCTTAGAGTGCGTATAATTTTAAATTAATGAAATTGAAAACATTAAGGTCACAAGTTGAAGAAAGAAGTGAGCCTGCTGTGGAGGTTCCCATATTCATTTTGCTGTGTTATCTTAGAGAGTTACCATGAATGCAAATGATCTCCAAGCATAAACAGAGAATAAAGATTTAATTTTGCAAGTCAGTATCTACTAATTAAAAAGGGGAAGGTTTACTATCTTGACAGTAACTCAGGAAATGAAGGAGTACAAACATTTGTGCTTTAAATAGCAAGTCTAGTAAGACAGGTCAGAATTGATATCTGTGCATTGATCACAATGGACAGTCTAGTATTGGTCTGTATCGATGTGTGACTAAGAGTGGCTTGTAGAAACAAGTGAAAACAACACATACAGTTCATCTTTTGGTGTTACTCACTGTGAAATTCATCTTCAGATCACAACTGTTAAGAGTGGAAAACCTTGCCTCAAAATCACGTTCAGTGCAGATATGGTGTTGCCCTTAGACAAAGTGCAAACATAGTACTACTGAAGTCCAGTCCTTTTAATCACTGAAGTCCTCTGTCATGATATCCTGTCTTAAGCTAAAAGGAATTTTTTTATAAAGTTGCCTTACTATACATTGGGATAGTGTATTTAAAAAAAACAATATTCTAATGTAAAATAAAGCTTGTATCAATTTCCTTATGATTAGGACTGTGGAGGAATGTTTGGATTCCCATCTTTCCAGAATGGACAACTTCTTCCTACAGGAATGCAGGTAAGTAATTCAATCACCATTGTACTTTTTGTGTTCAATTAATAATTTATCCATAAATTAGGTTATGATATCTTGCAGCATTGTCTTTTGTATATAGTGTTAGACCCAGAAACTGATGGGTAACAGGATTGTATAGGACACATTGCAAAAGTATTGTTGCTTTGATAACAGTGGCATTGTTGTTTTCACTCTGTCTTGTAAAATTACCTTTGAAGTTACAGTTGGTGCTGTATAGGGTTATTGAAAACTGTTGATAAATATTTTTTAAATACTACACACTTAATGTATTGTACCTCATTCTGATATCTTAAAAAAAATTAGGAAGAGTATCATCTTCCTTTCACAGAAGAAACTTAAATTGGTTGCCAACTTGGTTATATAGAAAAGCATAGTACTGGGCTGTATCGCTATATCTAATGTAGTCTTTGATAGATCACATCGCAGGGGAATGAAGCTGATATATTTTGATTAGAAACTTGTGTCTCTGAACAAGATTTTGATTGTGGGTAAAGTGATACAAGATTAGTTAAGTGCAGTTGCTCTGAATTTCATCAGCATGAATGAGATGCAGATCTGGCCCAGAGCCAGACAAATGTCCCAGACATGCTCGCTTCCTCTCCAGTGTGATACTGCTCTCTTGTTTTTGATGAATGTATTCTGCAGTAAACTCCCTCCTTCAGAGGCATCATTTTTGAGCTGTCCTTTATGAAGTGCAAAGGCATTCTCCCTGCCTTGTTATCTATGTCCCATTCATAGCACATAAAATTATGACATTTTATTCTTTATGTAAATGTATTATAGGGAAGTAAAGCAAATAAAAAGTAATGAGAAGATGAGCTTTGATGGTACAGTAGAGGGAATGCAGTATTTCAGTGAAACAAGTGACAGCCAATAACACTGCCCTGTTTTATCTTTTTGAACACATTTTACATTTCATTCTAGTGCTCTGTATTAATTCACATAATATGCCTGTTGATAACAGGTTTATTTAAAACTCATTAAAAGTTATAGAAAAATGAGATTTGCATAGAAAATAGGTACTTGGAACTTTCCAAATTTTCCCCCTCCCTCCTTCTTCCAGCCCTGCACAAAGACAGCAAAAGGTTGATACGGCAGGCTTTAATCAAACTTCAGCTGGCATTGCCTGTCTGTATTTCAGAAAAACCTTCACATAAAGGAGGCAGGCACAGCACCCAGGCCTGCCAGACTCAGAGGCTGCAAGCCGAAGGCAGCCCTATCTGCCACTAATGGGAATTGGGAACCACTTAAAAGTGCTACAGCTCGGGGGCGAGGCCGTGTGGTCCAGAGACTCTTATTTCTGAGCAGCTGGGAACCTTGTGTTTTGTTGCAGGTGCCAGGCTGAGAGCCTGGGTGGGAGCGGCTGCCAGTGCCTGCCCAGAGCAGTGCTGCCCGGCTCCTCCAGTGCTCCATTTGTAGGTCCCCTCCAGCTGTGAGAATATAGCCTTTTTTCCTCCTGTTCATTTCGTTCTTGGCTGTATTCCTGATTCTGCCCACACGGAGGCATATGAGCAGCAGTTGTTGGGAATTCAGGGATGTGCAAACCTGACCATTTGAAACTGGGGGGGAAACTGTGTGTATAAACAATCAAGTCCATTGGTAATGACTATATATCTAATAGTCTTTCCCGTACAGCTGCCCTATAGTGAATCTTCCATCATTCATTATTCTATTTACACTCTAGCATGTATTTTTATGCTACACGTATAATATGAAACTTTCATAGATGACATCTAGTCAGATGTCACTCTAACGCATGTAAATCTAATGTGCTGTAACATCTTTAACCCACTTACCTTATCCTGTGTATTGTAATCGCGTATATTTATGGATTTTCTGTGACAGAATATGAAACAATGGTTGCCACAGGAACTGCTGCAGTTGTAAGCAAGCAGCCATGTAGCTGTTGCCGTACCATGCAAGAGCAGATCCACAGCTCTGGGAGGGAAGAGTCCTGTTGTCCCCACAGTTGAGACAGTGGCAGTCCATTAGCTTTCTAACACTGTCTTGTAATTTTGGGAGTAATCTTGCAGTGTGCTTTCTGGAGGTCAAAGCATTAAATGTTTTCAGCTGGTTGCAAGGAAGAAATATGCGTTGCTTTTGAGATGACTAGATAGAAAGTTGTTAGCTCGCTGCTGACAGCAGAGGTGTTTCAAGTACGTAGTCTGCAGACTAATCGGTATGGAGCTCTGGGACCTTTCTGTAGGTCAGCTGTAAAAAGTCAGGCTTATTAAGGAGCACAGAGAAGTACATTTCACATACTTTGAATCCAGTTATTGACATCAGTATTTCACTGCATTATGAAGCAAGCTAGTTTTGGGCTGTTGACATTTAACTAGGTAAACATCTTCCACAGGCTAAAGGAGAGGTCAGTGTGAGACAGTCATGTGTTGTGCACATTCCCACTTATTCCTGGGAAACAGTTTTCTCTTCTTTCTTCTCCATTTCCTTAACTTGGGGGTGATTGCAGCTCCCTCTGTGCTCCTGCCTTGACCCTTTGTGGGTACCTGCTGGGGAGCTGAAGCAGTGGGGCTGAGCTATGCCGTCTCTGCTCAGACAGCATAGGCTGAATGTACAGAAGGGGACTCTTCATCCATCTGGGACATCTCCTTGACTTGCTGTGAGAGGGAAGTGGTTCCTCACCATTTTGGAGGGTAGGCCCTCTATTTCACTTCATTTTCCTCAGTACCACACTTATCTGCAAGAGGAAATGAAGCAATCCTCACTCTTAACTCCCTTGCAGCAGTCCAAAATACCTTAGTGAGAAGCATATGATTTTAGGGGAGAACAAAGCTGGGAAGGACAGGAAGCAGCATGGGGGAGACAGAACTATTTTTCCATTAGTAATTCATGCAAGTATTCCAAGGCACATACCAGCTCTACTTGGTATGTTGCAGTGCTAATCAATTTCCCTGCTCTTATATTTTTATAAATACAAAAAAAAAAAAAAAGTACAATCTAGGTACAACCAGTTTATAACAGTTACTTCTTTCCACTGCTTCGTGCATGATGGAGAAACTGATGAATTAAGATGAATATTTGGTTGTTTGTTTCATTTTATTTTTTCAAGGAAAAAATGTTATTTCAACAGCACGAACTAGTCATGAAAAAAAGAAAACAAAGGTATTGCACAGGTAGGAGTGAAACAGGCACTGTGTAGTGCAAGCTGAACTTATCAGTCCTAGAAAGTAGTAGTGAACCAAAGTTAATAAAAGGTCAAGACTAGTGGTATTTTATTGAACTCCTTCAGTGTGATAGTGCTTAAGAACAGGCACTGAATGGCTAAGGAAAGATAGCTTAATAATTTAAAGTATATTCTTGGATAAAAGACTTGAGCAGAAAAACTGGGTGGATCTCAGTCAATTGTTCCTATGTCATTTCTTTGGAATATTTCCATACTATTTGTGTCTTTATAACGTGTTAGGATGTAACAATGGTGATTTATCTTGGTTGTGCAAGCTGTCTGCCAATTTTATTTCATGAAGCTCTTTTAATTATCTGCTCAGTAGAATAAAAGACAAATTAAGAATCATAAGGGAATAGCAGATACTTTTGAAATTAGATTGCTTTCACTTCTACAATCTCTGACCCACTGTCTATCTTATGAGGTGAAGCAATTGGGTAAATGCTAATGTAGAAGTGAGGGAATGGAAAAGACTGATATACACATCTATTAAATGATTGAGGATTCTGAATTACTTTCTCGATCATGTTTTTTCATGTTAATAGCGTTTCAACTCTTGAAGTCAACACTGTGCAATAAGTCTTATACAATCATCAGTATTTTAAAATTAATATGTTAGTCTTGGAGGATGTGTATCTTCTTTTTAATATAGCATAAGATAGATCTTTTGGGTACTGTTCACTACTAATTTTTTTTCTCATGTTAAGTTATTCATTTAGCTTTCAGCTCTGAAGAACCCTATTATAAGTTAATTGGCACATAGCACAGCTGCCATTCATATCTTCTAGTGAATTAGAAATTATTCCTTTATTCAGGTTGTATGGCTTGTGCAAAAATACCATACAGGTGCATGTGTGGAGATTCGCTAGGCAAAGAGCCCTTTGAACTAAAAGGAAGGAAGAAAGAGAGACAATATATCAAGGAGAGACTGTACAAGGTGGCTGAGAAAAGGAGCTTAAAGGAAAGGTGGGCTGCTGAGGTTTGATAAGACCACGAGTCAGCCTTGGAGCTGATAATATAGGAGACGAGTTGGAGTGGGTGGAAGTGATGATGAAGTGAAGGAAGAGAGAAAGGTTTCAAAGATCCTTTGTCCTAGGACAGAGATGAAACCACTTTCTTTCTTCCAAAGAAATACAACTGCTGGGACTGGGATAGGGATCCCTCAAGAATCAAAGTCTGCTCTACAGAGGGAAAAGATGGTGAGTCATGATAATAAATTAAACAGAAAGAAATGTTCTTGCACAAAATGTACAGGAAGGTATAGCCTATCAGATTCATTCTGTGAATGACCAAGCATACCCACAAAGTATCCAGTAAATACACCAAAACTTTAAGTCCTAAAATCAGAATTGCTAGCAACTCTTTGGAAGAATTAGGTAGCTTGTACATGTGCCTCAAGCAACCCTGTGAAGCTGTAAGTGGAGGGTAGAAGTGATGTGTTTTTAATGACAATTAAAATATTCATAAATAGCAGCTGGGCTAGCTGGAGACAGAAAACTGCTTTTGGCTGGCTAGATAGGCAGGTTAAAAGCCTAGACCACAGTACAGTGTCAGCATTCACAGGTGGTAGTGTAATCCATGCACGTGCAGGTGGCTGAAACCAGGCTTCTGTCACTTACGGGCCTTTTCGTCTGATGTCAGATTCCTCCAGCTTTTTTCTGTGTTGAGTTGATTTATAACTTTTTGACGTCAAGCCCAGCAGTGTGTGTTTTATGTGTTTTGAGTGGATGTGCCAGTAAATTTGCTAACCACATTTGTGTCAAACTTTTGTTTTTAGTTTAGTACTGTCATGTGGAAGAAGCAAGTTCTGGATGGTAGGGTACATCAACAGATCTTTCATTTCACTTTGATTTTAAGCAAGAGATGTATTTTGCTTTTTAAATAAACAATGTAGGATTTTTGCCTGTTGTACATGTCATTCACTACAGAAGTTTTCACTGTTTTGAAAGTAACTCAGTTTTTGAAATAGAAAATGCACACAATTTTGGTGTGGATTTTCATGACATTGTACTGTCTTTCTGTGAAACACCCTAACTTGAATGTTGCTTTTAAATACGGAATCATTTTTCTGAGCATTAATTTCCATTCATGGTGAAGACTGAGATTGAGAAGGAGGTCTGAAAATGCTAAGCAGATAGTGGTCACAGGTTACGATAATTGATTTCCAGGTCAACACATCACAGAGTCACAGAAAGGTTGAGACTGGGAGGGACCTCTGGAGGCCACCTGGTCCAGCCCTTCTTCCTGCTGAGGCATTCTGAAGGATTTTGAAGATCTCCAAGGATCTCCATCAACTCCAGACCTCCTGTGGGCAACCTGTGTCAGTGCTCTGCCTCCCGTGCAGCACAGAAGTACTTCCTGGTGTTCAGAGGGAACCTCCTGTCTTCCAGTTTGTGCCCATTCCCTCCTCTCCTGGCACTGGGCACCAGTGAAAAGAGCCTGGCTTCATCTTCTTTGCATTCTCCCTTCAGGTATTTACAGACATGCCTAAAGGCCTTTTAATTGTCACTTATGGGCCTGCCTTTACTGTCAGAGGAAGCAACAGTCTTTATTTACTCTGATTTACCAGAAGATTCAAGAGTCAAGAGGATGTAACCAACCACCAGCATTAAAATAAGGACCACGTCTCCCACAGATGTGACATGAAAAGGGTGGAAAAGAACAGGGAACCACTTAGCCAGATGTTGGTGAGTGACTAAAACCAAACATACGTTAACTGTGAACTGAGCATTCATTTGGGCAAAAATGACTTGGCCTATTTAGAATGAAAATAATGTTCAAAATAAATTAAAAAAAATTTTAAGTATTTATTTATTAGAAAAAAATGTGGAATTACCATTGTGCATAGTGTCATTTGGTCCTTTCTGCTGATAAAGGCCTTGTTAGATCGTATTCATCATCTTGGGAAGTGTTTCCTTAACCCACAACTTTATTTGTCCATTTCTGTTTCCCACAGATGCATTTTTCACCTCTCTTCCTGTTTTCTATTTGTCGTATGAGGTTTATTTTTTCCTGTTTTTATTGCTGCAGTTTCACTGTATCAGTATTTACATGGTATAAGAGAAGAAAGAGTCTTAATATCCATCTGATTTTTTCATAAACTCCAGTCATTTGGACCCTTGTGTGTTCTTTCACTTTTGCCTGAGGATTACTTTGCATTGTTGGCTAATTGGATAACACTAGAAAGAATCCCAGAAAGGGATAAATCTCAGTGATGTAAGTATTTTAGAGAGAAAATACAGATGAGAACTGAGTTTGCTGCTGCAGCACAGATCTAAATAGCTGGTTTTGTCTTTGGCAGTACAAATAAGGAGAAATTCAGCAATGCCTATGCATTCCTGAATGCATGTGCATTTAAGGAGATTATTCTTGGTTTGATGCTACATAAATAAATCAATATCTGCTATTGATTAACAGTTTAATTCTTCTGTTGCTATGCTGTGGCATAGATGGAGCCCACTAGCTGGTCGTGGTATGTTTTTTTTTTGTTTGTTTGTTTTTTAGAGTGAATTTCAAGTAAACTCTTTTATAACTCAATCAAAAAGTCTAAGTGTATAGATTGATAAATGAGAGCTGAAGTAGTTTTGTTACTTTTTTTCTTTTAAAGTTAGTAAACTGGGCTGTGCTAAGACCAAACAATTTCTCAGTGTCACGCAGAATCACGGAACTGAAACTTGCTCTCTGGTTTTGTTTTGTGGGTTATAACACCCTTCTGCCGTGGGACACCAGACAATCCTTTCCAGCATCCCTCTTTGTCTAAAAAAAACTTTCTTAATTCGCATGTTAGCGACGTTCTTGAATAATCTCTGAGGATACTAATGGTGTACGTATAAGCAAAGAACTATACTGATAATATTGCCTGTATTATGGGGATAAAGCTTTTCTAAATGAAACCATGCCAAGAAAGTTTAAAATTCACTTTAATGATAGTTTTAATTAATCAGGGTGTTCTTGATGTTATTATATTATCTCCAGAATAAATAGTATTAAACCAATATAAACAAGATCTGAACATTACTGAGATGCTTTTGCAATTTAATAGGCAACGCATATGTAATGGAACCCCAACTTTCTTGCTACATTTATTTGTTAGACATCACTGTTAAATGGATTTTTACAAAGCTTTTTTTTGCTTTAATTCGTATAGCCTAATTTAGGGATATATTTGAAAAATAAAAAAGGTGTATGTATTTTAGTCTGTGATTCTGAAATTCAGATGAAATGTATGTTTAAATTAGGTAGTAGTAAGAGAATGTGCTTCAAGAAAACTCAGCACAGAAACATGCAGTTCTGACCAAACAGCAGCTGGTTTGAATGGTTTTATTGTTTAGAATAACCAGTGTCTTCTGAAATGAAAGCTAGAGTACCATTTTTGCATTCATAGTAACATAAATTCAGCATTTAAAAGAAAAAAAAAAGTCTAAAATTGTCGTTCAGCATTATTGTAGCACTACAGGAAGGTGGGCTATCTGTGTGATTGACTGAAGAATCACTGGTGGATTGCCTTGTGTCAAATGAATTGTCCCCTACTTGAAGATCAGATATTTTTCAAGAAAGCAGTCTGGTTACTCTGTTGAATATGAATTGTACAAAGGATTAAAAAAAAAAAAAAAAAGAGAGAGGAAAAAAAACCTACAGATATTTATCTCAGCTTTCAAAGCATGTATTCAGGGTTCAAGAAAACCACTAGAATAGCAACCATAGAGGCTTTGTTGCAAAACCTGGTTTATATCAGGTCAAAAGAAAACCTCACGAGGTTTTGTTCTTTGTTCTGCCTTTGTTCTTTGTAAATAAAGTTGAAAGAAATGAGAAATGCTCAGAGCTGAGAACAGCTCATATCCCTATTCAATTACTGTCTTTCTGTTAACTGCAAACCCATTGCAGGTATGGACCCAACAACCAGTTTTGTTATAGTCCTGGTCACCAGATTTCCATTAGTTATTGTTGTCCTGGTCTGGATGTGTACCGATGATTCAGCTAGAAAACTTTATAATCTTTCTAACTTTTAAAAAAAAAATCTTGCCTAAAGACATCAAATGCTTTCAGATCAAAAGTATTCTCCTTGGTGATGTATTCACCAGAGACAGACACAAGGGTATTATGGAAAACATAGGAAGTTGCAGCCAAGAAATATTAAGTCTGTGGTATGGAATAAGATAAGATTTTATATATATATGTATGTGTGTATTTATTTATTTATATTGTTATTATTTTAAATGTGTTTCTGGTTGCATCTCTGCAACTCTGGTGCATCAGTGTTAACTGACTTCAGTGCATCTTTGAAGCTTAGCTATGAGCAAGTGGCTCAAAAGCCACTGCTGTAAAGTAAGAGGTATCTTGCAACACCAGTTTCATTAAAAGAGTAGCAGTCATTCTCAGAGATTATCTTAATTTTCCAAAAGTTGTACCTTTCTGCACGGTAACTTTCCTGTGGCTGAGTTGTTTATTGAGAGAAAAGGCACATGTATCACATGGGCCTGTTTATGGGTCAGCTGCAATGTTCCCAGGCTGCTTTTCTTTGCATTTCCATAGTGTTCAGTGGGTGTTAACTGACAGCAAATGTTATTTCTGGAAGAAATCATAGTCCAATTATGTAATACTTTGATGTGTAGTGCCCTTTAAAACAAAGATGTGAATTTCAGCTTCAAAACGAGAGAGAAATACGCATGCTTAACACTTTCACCTGTGTGCACACAGATGCATGCTGTAGTTCTTATGAAGGTGGAATGATGGTATTTAAAAGAGGTGATTTAAAAAATCAATTTCATTCCCCCAAATGAACAATTTATTAATTTGATTCACTTCCCTGTGGTGGTAGTGTTCATGCCCCTGCACATCTACAGCTGTTGCTGTTCTCATCAGTCCTACCATGTGTTAATTTTATTTATTTATTTATTTTAAGATTTATTTCTGGGTATGTAAACAGGCACCTTCCAAAGCCCAAAGAGCTTAGTAGCTGTTCAGCTTAAGTGTTAAATGAAAATGCTTCAGCCAGTGCAAGGGTGGTGATCAGGAGGAGCTACAGAAAAAATGTGTGACCAGAAAGTTGTACTGATGCCTCTTTCAGGTGAAATTTGTTTTAAAGATGGAAACTGAGTGCAAATCTTGTATGACGTGGGGGTCCCTGGGAAAAGGAGGAAGATGTAGATGTTCACAGTTGAGTACTGGTGCAGTAGGCACAAAAGTCAGCTGGTTTACTCCATTGTGATAGAGCCTCTGTTTATTTGCATTTTTTTGTATCTCTGCATGTGTGTAACATTTTTTAATGTATGTCTATACACATATTTATATATATTATACAGAAGGGGAACTGGCATATATAAATCTATCAATATATATACCAATGTATACTTCAATATATGATTATACATGAAAATATAGAGGTTTATGTTAAAGGTGGGGAGCTCCTTACTATTATCAAAATATGTGCTTATTGTCAGCTTATTACTCATAGAACATATTCAGTACCTCTTGTTTAGGCAGGTATGTGGTTGAAGATTCTTCTGTGATATTCACAATTCCTTAACTGGCAATTTCTTTACAAATATTGGCATTTTGGTGTAACCAGTCTGTTAAAAAGAAAAATACAGTAATATCTTCAGAAGTACTTTTATATCCCTGGAACTTACAAGTGCTTTTTACTGAAAAGATTCAAGGGTGTCCAAAGGGATTTGATTCCACCTAAGACAGGGAGACCATCCATTCTTCCCTCAGTCTGATGGATTAATTACACAAGGTCCTCTGGGAGCAACTATACATTCCCCTCCAGCATATCAATTACATTAAGGAACTGATCTTGCTAAATGTAGCAGTAGCAGACCTTGATCTGTCACACTGAAGTTCACAACTAAAGATGTGTCTTGCAAGACTAAGCCCTCTACCAGTGCCAGATGAGTCATGAAAAACAGAAGAAGGGAATAAAGAAGTTCTAATTTGCTACTTAGTCAGGTTCTACCTGCAATGGAGTGGAGGCTCTCTTGAATTTTCACAGAATTAGGAGGCAGAGTTGTGTCTAATACTTGTCTCAGAAGTCCCATTTATGAGTAATCCTTTTTTTTTTTTTTTTTTTTTGTGATCAGACAGCCTGGCATACATAAACACTTTATGTCTATCCACCCACACTTTGTCCTTTCTGTCTTCATCTAAGTGCTGCACTCTGGGGCTCAGTAATACAAAACTGATGAACAAATAGTATGCTTCAGGTGGGAAAATACACTGCTGAGTAAATGAACTTGTTGCTGGTGTTTTCCAAAAGCCTGAGCTGTAGCCAGAACAATTCATAAAACCTGAGATTTTCAGTATTATTTTAACATTTCTTAGTTCTTTATGTTAAACTGTATGTACTATATGTACTCCCATTCAAGGTAAAGTATTGGTGTGGTAAAATAGTTTTATTGAGAGAGAAGAATGGAAAAACTATTAATAGTACATTATTAAAAGCAAAACATGTATTTGGTTATATCTGTAATTGTTCAGCTTGCATCATGTATTCTTGATCCAAGCATTCTTGATCATAAAACAGGTTTGGGTATTTTTGGAGGTCTGAAATACTTTCCTGGCAATTAGAGATTGTAAGATCGCATGGTATTAGGTAGATCCTGAATATAAACCAAGATTTACCTACCCATAAGGCACATGTCACTTGTCTTTATGCAATGACATAATGTATCAAACAGGAAAAATGTGGCAATTATTGTTAATAGTGATTATTACAGCATGGCTGTACTTGGGTGTACAAAGTTATCTTTTGCTGTCATTAGTGACACTTAAAAACACATTTGCTGCCCCATGATCTTTAATCAGGCAGTTTCCTGGTGATGTAGATACAGAGGTTTGTCTTTTTACTGCAGAAGAAGGAGTTGGTTGTAATTTGTTTCTGTAAAATGTAAATGCAAAATGTTTCTGTGTGTTAGGTCTGTAAGTTGAAAACTATGGTTGTGAGAGGTTTTGTTCTGTTTTGTTTTGTTTTTAACTGAAGTCTCTAGTGTAATTAGAAATGGAAACAAGAGGTAGAAGGAAGGTGCTTTGAGGTTACTGAAGGAGGCATATTTTGGTGCAACGAAAAAAGTGAAAATATGACCGTTCTAAGAATAGGTGAGAAAGGGAAGAGCATTAAGGAAGTCAGGGAGGAACAGGTAACTTCTAATCAAAATGGAAAATGGGCCTCGTTGAGAGACTATGTCAGAGACAGATATGAGATCATTTATATTCTGGGTGATATTAATCATTCTGCATATTGCATTATTGAAAATAGCTTCCCAAATGACTCCAGAGTTCCTGGCCTCCCATCTCCTTCCTCTCCCTACTTATTCTCTCTTCTCAAGTAATGCTGCTTGCTTAGCTGTTTTCTTCCACCTCTTGCTTTCAGAATGTTCTAATAGTCCCTTATTTTAATGTCTTTCTAAAGAAGGGAGTTGATGTGTGAATTCACCACAGCATCAGGAACAGTTGTCATAAGTCACTACGAAAACTCAGTAAGAACAGGTATATGTTTTTTCTCAAAGCTTGGTTTGTTTTTTTTTTGTTTGTTTGTTTTGTTTGTTTGGGTCAAATACTTTTTGGAGTATAAAGGAGGTCAAAAGAAGTTTTCCATGGGAAAACTGCTTTCAGTTTACCTGTACAATCCCTGCAATGATTACAGCTGTTTTTCACATGGTGCTCTGAAAGGAAAATTTGTCCCTGAAGCTGAAGAAAATTCTGAAGCTGAAAAATAAGTAGAATTAAGAGTTTGCCTAATTAGTGCTACCTTTTAAGGTCTATTTTAAGCTGTCTTCCTTCAGCCTGAACCATTTGATCATTTCCCAAAAAGTAATTTAATCATATCTGATTGCTTGCTTGAATCTGTAATTAACTTAGATGCAAGTGAATTAACAGTATTTACCAGGTGCTGCATAATTTACCCAGAGCTACTTGTAGCACATACATGTGAAGTATGTTGGATGCTTTCATTTATTGGCCAGAATATTTTAAGCTTACAATCAATTTATTTTTTGTTGCTACTTTTAATTTCTGTCTCTGAGATGACTCAGTTATGAAATACTGTGTGATTATATTCTCTGTGCTACCAAATTATCCCTTGTAATTATGCCACATGGTACTTGTTATTTCAAAAGACTCAAAACTACCTATGGGAGGACAATCTACAAAGTTATTTTGGGGCTGCAATTGGTTGCTAGGATGAAGCTAAAGATGCAAGTAATTCTAGTCAAGGCATTGTATAAGAAACTTAAATGAGCTTATTTAAAAAATAGTTAGTTCTCATCTCAGAAGACCTCTGAAATTCCTTTCCTTCCAAAAAGGCATAAGTAGTTTTAGAAAATGCCTTGTTCTGTTGGAACACATATTTTTGTCCTATTTGGGAGTCAGTTCTTGCATTAGTAGAGTAATTAAAAATAGTAAAAGATGGAAAAAATTACCAACTCTAAAAAAAGCACTTTTAACAAAATGTTTGGAGTGCCTTTCTAAGATCCAAATTTGTACCTAGTCCTACTCTCAACCCTTCTTCCTTTGCGAGGTCCTGAATATCTGACAATCTCAGGAGACTTTCATGTAGTCCTTCTACTTCATTTTTTCTCTACAGTTTCCCAAAACTAAAACATATAGATAAAAGCAAGTCTCAGCTTAGGTCTTGGTTCAGGAGTGACAATCGGTATGAGTCTTCCTATCTCACAGTCTGGCAGAAAGGTTTCTGCTGCCTGACGTTTCTTTGTCCCCATGTTCCCTGTATGGCACTAGTATCAGGGATGAAGATTTTTCTGCAGATCACGTTTGAAAGTAGGAAACATGAATGATCGAAAGTATCCAAAATTCACTGAAGAATTACTGTGAAAATAATTTTGGAAGGCAAATATTTTAACTGGAATACTTGTCTAAACATCAGCAGCAACTGAAATTTAAAAAGGTTGTATATACTTTGTGGTGGTCATGAGATTATGGGAAGCTATGGTTTTAGACCACTATTTAATTGGATGCTACTGCTATAAATCAGGGCACAAATGACAAAATTATTTTTTCTTCATGACTTGGTCAGTCAAACAGCATTTGCAACATCAATTTTTCCCAAGTACAAAGCATCACGTATATGCCAACAGCATAACAAAATATGGATCTGCAGTCAGTTCTGCACATCTTGTACTGTGGTATTTACATTCAAACCGATAAGAAAATTGCTCCATTTCATTACTGTGAATATGTTTACAGCCCTTTTTACTGTTTATAAAGCTGGTGAATATTTTCTTTCATTGAAAAGACAAGTGCAGGTCTTAAATTTCCCAATGAATTATACATTCCCAGAAAGATGTTGCAGACTACAGGAAGGAAAAGGTAAGGGCACACAACCACAAAACCAGCAAGACTTGACAGTTTGTTACAGGGTGATCCAATCAGAATTGATGTGGCCATATCAGAGACTTGCAGGCATTTAGATTTGAAGATGACATTTGAGACTGTAAAAGTAATATTTGCAGCAACAGTCTTGATAAATATAATCCTTCCTGAAGCTCTGTGTACTCCCAGTACAACTGGTATTTTAGAGGATAACAAAAGGTTTGTTTATAGTCAGATACAGAGAAGTGAACAAGTTACTAAAAGCTTTCTTTGAGACTGTGAACTGCCAGCAACTGCCAATTTCTCTCCCAAAAGTGGGCTGCCATGTGATTTGCACAGAAGTGTGTTTGGAGACTCAGCAAGGCCAATCTAGAGAGTTAGGTTTTTGTTTTGTTTGTTTTTCTTATAAAATTACACAGGTCAGGGAGCAATTGTCCATAGAAACTGGTGTTCCCTTCAGTTTGTAGCCTTTTTGGAAGAGCTTGAGCCTGACTTGTGAAATTACCCCAGAAGACTAGAGAGGTAGATACTGTACAGCAAGCTGACATTAGTCTGTATATGTACCTAGACTGAGATACTTGACACACAACTTCTCTGTTTATGGAGAAACAAGAGTAGTTATTCTGACATTTGTCCCTGAGCTTTCTTCCCATTCTGCTGCGTTCTACACAGTCTTGCTTTCCCACTTGATCTGTTTCTGTTCTCTCCTATTTTGCTTTGTTTTAATTTTCATATCATTGCATAACAGTGTTTTCTTTCTCCTTTTCCATTTCATCTCTCTGTATATGTCTGATTATTATTTCTAAGTCATAAAAAAAACTTTTTTCCTGTCTTGCAGAGTCAGCCTGTTTGGAGGCATCGCCTGTGATGAGTGATTTCCAGGAACACTGACTCAGTGAAGTCATGGAACAATAATGAAGGTTAGCTATCAAAGGTAATTAGAAATCTCTCTGCTACTTTATTACCATGGAAGCCATGTTCCTGCCAGAGATGGCCTTGTTAAGAAGATGCCAAACCTCAAGGAGACAATTCAGTAGTGCAAGTTATGCATTAGTATACTCTAAAGCAGAATATAATGGATCACAGAAGCAGACAACTCTTAATACCCTGCTTGAAATAGAATTTGGAGACTGTAATGCTGCACTGTATGTAAAATATTAGAGAAATTATCCTGTAAAGATGATTCAATTAATCTTAAGTTATGTCTCTTTTTAAATTTGAAGGTGCCAAATTAATGTTTATACATAGATAGTAAGCACCTACTTGAGACAACAGATACAGTAGTTTGTTGAAGTTCCTGTGAGCCAGTTAAAAAAAAAAAAAAAAATCAGTTGATTGTTTAAGAAAAGCAAGTACTGCTCTGTATACCAGAAAAAAAAAAAAATACGATAGGGATAGTGAAAAATCTAGTGAGTATTTTTTAAATAGTTTTGTTAAGAATTCGAATTCAACTGCATTTGCAGAAGTGTAGATGTAGAACTCTGCCTGACATTTTGCTCAGCCAGTGCAACAAAGGATGAGAGCAACACTGTTAGAACACCCAGGTGGTTGAATATACTGGGAAAGAAAGATTTTGCTGGGAAATTTGAGTTCAAGTTTTCTTGTGAATTGCCACAAATACGGTTCAAGTACGTTTGTGTGCTGATGCATGCTTCTCAGTGTTTCAGAAAATTCATCACTATTTATTACTTCGGTTGAATATGAGGAGACCATTCTTTAATCTTTTTTCTTTGTCTTTTTTTTCTTTTTTTTTTTTTAAAGAAAGCCTATCTACTATATTGCTTAATGTTGAAAGGTGTCCTCATCATTGGCAACTGCTTAAGATGATCATGAAGAAGTTGCACTTCACTAGAAGTCGTTAATTTTGGTACAGTTCTTGTTCCCATGGCTAACCCCTGTGTGCACTGCTGTTCTTGTCAGGTTCATTATGTTTGTTTTCTCTTTCCAAGGTATTATGTCTTCACATTGAAACATTAATCCAGGCTCAGAGTTGGCAAACATATTCTGAATCTAGCAGTGTGCTTATTTCCAGGAAAAAATAATCTGTTCCTTTTGAGAGAGTGGACGGATTTGGATTTTAAAACACTTCATTGTATTTTATAATACAAGACTTGCTTTACATTTCTAAATGTAACATTTCACAAGCAGTTCTTCAGAACTGTTCACTGAGTAAATTATAACACATTTGTTATTTGAAATTTCAAGTTCTGTTTTTAAATGTTAGATTCTTAGATAGTGATAATAGCTTCCAAAGTTTGATGGTCTTAATGTTTCCCTTACAGCTAAGAGCAGTATGTGATAGATGAAATTTTAAAGCATGTTTTTCACTCTAGGAAATTAACCTTGAAATTGTAACATAGCTAAAGAAACTGAGGAAAGACACAAGCTGAGTATGTAATTACCATGTCTGTAAATACAACATGTAAATACACGTAAAAACACATAAATACAACATGTCTGAGAGAGACCTACAGGGAAACAGAAGATGTTTAAGGCTTTTCGAAACAAGGTATTGCTTACATGGACAGAATTTCTTACACTGGATTAAACTGAAGGTTTGTCTAGTTCATTCCTCTGTTTCTCACGGCAGCTACACCAAAAAAAAATTAAAAAAAAAATAAGAATCTCACATTAAACAGGTGTAGGATTCAATCTCCTCCACATTTATTTTATTTCTCATGTCAGTATGTTAATAAAGGATAGGGCTCATCATGAATATGATAAACATGTGAAAAGACATTAGTATTCAATTCTGTGCTAACAGTCAATCTCCATACAGGATCTCCTCATGATACATGGAGTGAAAAACACAAGCAGCTTCTAAATCAATAGATTTTATTGCTGGGAAAAAAAAAATACTTTGATAATCCCCAAAATAACAGATGATCAGTGCTATCTCTTGAGGAAATTGTTTACATTTGTATTGCAATATAATCCCCCCCCCCCCCCCCCCCAAAAAAAAAAATAATAATAATAATTTATTGCTAGTTGTCTTTCAATTTCTGTAATATTTTCAGGATAAATTGATATTTATCCACAAAAGCAAAATCCTTCAGGATCAGGGCAGATCTGTGGTAATATGGGACTTGTTCAGCAGAGATCTTAGAGGCTATAAAGATACTAGGTTATAGTAGTGTCTATATATAGTATAGTAGGTTATATATATAGTATAGTAGGTTATACTAGGTTATAGAGATGTTAGGTTGTTTTCCAGGCATGATTAACCATAGCTTCAGTACTCGAAACTATACTTTCTTTATGTTTTGGGCATAATTTATTTTGCTTCACTTAATACTGACATTCAGGGAAAGTGTGCCTTCATGAAGGGACTTTTAATGAGAATAACTGGAGGTGATATTATGGTGGTTTAAGAAAAATCCTCTTCAGTAATACAGGTTTAAAGGAAGACTTCCATTTTCTTGACTCCAGCAAGCTTTTCATTTAACATAGATGAAGGATGCCAAGAGTATTGTCCAGAAGTCTGCAATTCTGTTTGCTCTAAAGTTGTAGAGGGAAAGATTGCAGCAATGATGCCCGCCCACTTTCTGTCAGTAAATATTAGGACTTGGGAACAGCTGTCTATTTTTGCCCATAATATTTGTTGCTTGTGAAGCTGTCAACTAAGATACACAGTGTAGGGGGAATGATTATTACTGTGTTTTAGGTGAAACTGGTTTCAAAGCAGATAGAAAGAAGTTTGTATTTTTATTTAAAGGGGGAAAAAATGGAATGAAAGTAATTATTCTGTTTCTTGAACCCTTGCTTCATCTGCTGAGCAATAAGGAAATGCATATTGCAGTAGCTCTTAATTCAGTCATATCTAAATAAGTTATGGTACAGATTTCAGGCCAACAGGATTTGTACTCTAACAAGTCTGTCATTATTATTAGATGCTTAAAATAACCAGTGAGATGAGTTTCTTACCATTGTTACTCCAGTTAAATACAACCTTTTAAAAGTTAAGGATCTGGGTATTTGTTGCTTGGTGATTCAAAGCCTTTGGAATGCAGGATTTAGCTTTTCACTGCGTTTCTAGTAGTTATCGGTTTACAAAAATAGACAATTGTACATTTTAATCTTCTATACTGCCAATATTGAATGAAGTCTCTGTCACCTTTCTTTGCTCAGTGAGATAATTTGACTAGATAACCTTTATATAGTTCAGGGACTTACTTCATTGCCTTCCGAATAGAGTTTCTGGAGACTATAGATTTAGATTACAATGCCAAATGGCCATAGTGCCTCAGGGAAATATATTCTCATTAATGGACTTGTTAATGATTATCATTGAAGAGACTCTAATAGTATCAGATGTAAACGTTGTCACAGCCCTCTATCTTTCCCATGCAGATATGGAGATGCATCATTAATTCACAGAGACTGATTCTCAGAGCTGTGCAAATTGATACAGTATGATAATGTCTGAAATAAATTAAAGTTGCGCATTATCAGTTTAATATTTCAGATTTCTATTTCCAATTGATAGCCTCTAAGAGGTAAGAGGAATTGAACCAAGACAGTAGTATGGGTCATTCAAAAGAGGTCAAATTCAGACTATGCCCTTTTCAGTTCCAGCTTCTCTATGTTCCTTTGTGTTGTCTTTGAGAGGAATGTGACCAGTAAAAACTTATAATCATGAAGAATCTCAGCTGCAGTGATAAAATCAGATATGTTTTACAAGCACAGAAAAACTATGGCAGCATGAAATATTTTTTGGAATCTATAATAATTCTTAAACAATTTCTTTATCAGGAGTTAGTTATCTTTATTCAAGTGTAGTAGTGATTTACTCCTTTATCTTGGCTTTGATTCATTTACAGTGCATTGAATGCAAAAAATCAGAATCTGTCTCAAATGTGTTGATCTAAACACTACGCATTTATTGGCATATTTGCCATATTTGCCTGTGTTTTCAGATGTATGAATTTGTTTTTATATATTTTATTTTGCTTTATTCTGTTTATTTTACAGCAAACACCCAGTATTATTTCTTTATTGCTGGGAAAACCTTGTAACAATCTGAAACACCGGTATTTTCAGAACAAACAAGAAATGCAACCTTATATGCAGACATGAAGGTAAGCTTTTAGAAACAATAACATGCTTCTGATCAAGTTGTCAAGTGGGAAATGGTGGAGTACATAGGTAGGTGCTAAGACAGGTTCTGAAGCTACCTTTTCAATGAGTCATTTTCATTTCAGACAGTTCTATTAAATGGGTCCCCCCCAAATGGGAAGAAAAAAAAAAAAAAAAAAAGTGTGTGTGTGGGGGGGAGCAGATTTTACAAATGGCAGGCCAAAATGTGCAGCTGGTGGTAAGCTGTCCTAAAAGGAGGACAAACCATGAGCTAATGATATAGCTTGTGCTCAGTTGTAACCAGCTGTAAAGCCATGAAGGACAGAATTCTACTCTGAACAGACCAAACGCAAATATATGGGGTGTAAAAGAATTTGTCTTTGTAATGAAGATAGGATCTCTCTAGCAAAAGATAAGCAATCTAACAAAGTCTGGAGATATTATTTTAAATAAGTGAAGAATTAAGAAAAACCTTAAGAAGAACTAAACACATAAGTGTTTAAACACAAACCAGGGGTAATTTGTTTCATACAGGAGAAAAATCACAGAAGCATGTAGAACAGTGAACAGATGAAAAGCATGAGACTAGAAGGATACATGTGACAGGGAGATGCATGGACTCTCTCTTTGGTGTACTTAATTGTGTTTCTATCTGGGGGAAAATGCTGTAAGAACATTTTTGTGTCTGTCTCTGAAAAGTAAAGCAGCTACAGCATTTATCTGCTACAAACTATGAAACTGAGACTGTTAGGGAAAAGTGTTTGAGGAATTGATGAAAGAAGACACTTCTGGTTCAAGTTAGGGGGAATCCTATTTCAATCTGTATGTCCCACACTGTTACAAATAAAGGTGAAAGATTGCATTAAGTAAGGTCTTGCAAAATCTGAAAAGATGTAAAGATGAGTAACGACAGGAAATTTTCATTGAATACCTCAGTTTATTCACGCAGGGCAGTGACAAGGAAGTGATCTGTGAAGTTGCATCATAACATAGCTATGGCAGAAAACCCATGCCTAGAGCTACGCTGCCAGCAGTCAACACTGAGACACTGCTACTGCGGCCATCCCAGCTGGCACCAGTCAGGGGGAACGTGAAATGCCACAGTTATGCTACTTACTGCTGACATAGTAGAGAGTGGGCAGGAGCTAAAACATGTGAAAAGAAAATTATCTTGATGTGTACAAATGTGGCAAGCTGATTTAGTTCCAGTTAGGAGGCAGGTTGCAGCTACAGTCATGTGCCTGTGTTATTTGATTTTAACTATCAGGCAAACATGTCCATGTAGGCTAATTGTCTTCTAAGAAATTATTATTCTCTTATAAATTTTATAAACTATGAGATAAGATTATTGAGAAGTATTTGAGGAACCATTAGAATTTGAAGGAAGCAGTGTTTCAAAGCAGTTTCTTTCCATGCATCAAAATTCCTTTTTTTTATTTTCTTATTCTGACTGAAGTTCTGAAATAAAGTTTCAGTACTTCTAGATTCACAAGAAAAAATCCTGAAGAAAAGCTTTATTTCTGCTCTTTTCTGCCCACACTGATGTTTACTTGAGAGTCTCACGTTGCATTTAAATTATCAACAAATCTATGAAATGAAATATTCTAATGACTTCTCTCTAATGAAAACAAACATGCAAATATCTGAGATTGCTCCCATGCTACTGCAAAATGCCGTTTTATTGAAATTCTTCCATGGGCCAATCTGTGCTTCTTTTTCCCCACAGTCTTGCATATTTCTGTGACATTATTCTTGCTGCAATGTGCTGTGCTCTGCTCTGAGTCCCTGAGACTGAAGAACAATGCTTGCTCACCCGCTCTCTGCTGTTTGGACGTGGTCTTATGTGGGCGGCTGCCAAGCCTTGCGGATTGTGACAATGCAGAGAGTGCGCTGTAAGGTCTGTAATGATTACCTGCCCTGCTGTGAAACTTTGGAAAAGCGAAACATTAGCATTTTTTGTGCCATGTTAACTGTACTTTTCACAAAGGTAGTTCTCTCTCTTTCTTTCTCTCTCATCTGTACTGATTTGATGTGGCTTTTATGTTTCAGTCTGAGCAAAGTATAAAACTTGCCACCTATTCATCTCTGTCTCTCTGTCACACTTTGCACCTGCTTTTAATTTCCCCTCAGGAAGTCACTTTCTATCCCCACTGCAAGGTTCTAATTTTAATAATCCCAGCCCATCCAGAGCTGTTTCCCCAAAGAAATATTTCACTGCACACATCACTTAGTGTGTTGATATTTCTTGTTAGTATGTGGCACCAGGTTAGCACCTCTAGATAACCTTGATAAATTAAAAATTGGCTTATCAATATTCAATCAACCTACCTCATTTATCCAGATGTCTGACTTCCTTTCTGTCAGAGCTGAGTTTAAAAAGCACAGCGAAAGTAAATGGAATTAAAATTGCATATTTGCCTTCCAAATGGACGTTAAATCAGTCTGCTGCTAATGTCACCTTAAACACTGTATTTTAGAAACAGTGAAATAATAATATACAGTGGCATATATGATGTTCCAAAATGTTGTTTTTCATTAGACTGTTGTTTTTGGAATACAATGATCTTCTAACATTTTTTTAGGATTTATTAGGATTATTTTATTAGGAATTTTGGAAAGGTAGGGTTGGCCTGCCCAGTTCTTCTTATGACCATCAAATCTTACTGATTTTTCCATGTCACTTTTGTAATTTATAGAACTTTAAGACCTTAACATATCAACAGCTGCATAGCTTCCCAGATCTGATCTTCCTCCATCTTATGTTTTTTTGCCTTTGCAGTTTAGAAATCCTCAAACAACCCTTTGTGTTCCCACAACTGTTATGCAGTAGTTTTGTGATTCTGTCTCACCCAGTTCATCGGACATTTAAGTTTTAAGCCAAAATAACTCTTGACGTGATCTATTCCCATCACCTTGGTTTTTCAAATTACAGTATTGGTTATTCTAAGGAAATGACAGTGTTGTTTTAACATTATAACAAAAATATAATAGCACATCATGTGAAGGACAGGTTTGGAGCAATTCAGCTGGCCAAGGTTTTCTAAAGTCATAGCAATTTTGTTTGCCTGTACTGTGAGGCCATAAATAGATTTCATTTTCAGTAGGCAGATGGGCAGCCGCATTATCATTGTACAGGTTTCTCATATCTGTCTGCTTGAGAACCACTTTCTTTGATATTTTCGATATTAGGCAGGAATTCCTGAAACTCCAGGAAATCCTGTGGTGTATTCCTAAAAATGTTCAAATGTTCATTTCTCCATTGCTTTCTGTTGATGAAAATTGTCTGTATTGTCAGTCAACAGAAGGCAAAAAGAGGCCTATCTTTTGCTGCAATACGTAGACCTCAATAATTTAGAAATAGCATGAACACTGAAGACCCTAACTCATAAAATCAGAGTTTCCTGGGAGTTTATCTTTTAGGATCTTTTCATATTTTAACAGCTGTTCTAGAAATGGAGGAGTTCAGCAGTTCTCTGCCTCACTTCCATTCTCAGTGATCTTTTAATTTTGTGGAGAAAATGAATTCCGTATGAGGTTCCAAAATTATTGGGGTTTCTGTTTTATTATCCCTGTTGTCAACTCAGAAATACAGTTTGCTGAGCACTGGTTATTCTATTGAAGTTAATCTACCTAGATTTTTACATTAGGATAGTTAAAAAATATTTCATGCCTGCAAAACTTAAAAACCTAAGTTCAAGCTATTTCCCTTCAAATTATGTAAACTAAACATTTAAACAAGATCTTGTGGCTTTCTTTATTTTTAAAAATTAGAAGAACAAATATTGCTTTAAATGGGGAAAAAAAAAAAAAAAAAAAAAAAAAAAAAAAAAACACCCCAGAAATAAAAAAGGACATAAAATATCTGTGAGGTGTTAGTTTCATGAAGAATTTCATTATACTCCCTTCTCTAAGCTTTGCATCCCTCTTGCTGGAGGAGGGTGGAGGGGGGAAAAAAAAAAAAAAGGAATGATTTTCACAGTTGTAATGGTTTGTGTAACTGCTAAACCAAGTTGAGCAACCAAGTACGTCCTGTATACCTAGAATGCTCCCATAACATTCTGCTTATCACACAGCCTTAAAACAGAAACCCTATGAGGTATGAGAGATAGTCAGTGAAAAACAATTTTCAAGAAAGTCCTCACAGTATTGAAAGTTTCTTTGGAAAATATGCAGAGGAATCAACATTTCATTCTAGTCTGAGTTTGATTAATGTCCTACGTTACTCTTTGATTCTTCACCTTTTCATGCCTTTCCCTTCCCGCCTTGGGGCTGTTACGTTAAATTTAAATAAGATGGGTTTAATTAAATCCTGTCACAATTAAAAGGTTTGTTTCACTTTAAAAGCTAAATATAATTGTTGTTAATTTTAAAGAAGCCAAGGAAAATGCTTGACAGTGTTTATGTACTGTGGAGGAACCACACAAGGGGAGACGCAGGCAGGGAACTTGAAGTTGCCATAAAAGCTTATTTCATCTTCGTGAGTTGTTGCACTATTATGTTAGGTAAATATTTGTGTGTACTCACAGTTGGGATTGACAGTATCCTTTTAAAAACGAACTATTGCAAAGTGTACACGATGGCTGAGATGCCATGGGATGTTACCACAATTTTGCTCTAGCAGTTTCACTACAGCCTGGTTAGAATTCCAACATAGGAATGACCTCTTGTATGTGGTTTTTCATCAGTAACTTTGTAGTTTGGTCCAGCCACGCATTTACCCTGGATTGAATCTGCAGTTTGATTTCTGTAAAAAGAATGGCCTTCTTTTATTATTTAAAAGAGAAGAATTAATAAATAAAGTGCAGAGAAGCAGGGCTGTCTAGCTGGTGGTGCTATTTTTCATCATCAGCTTTCCAGAAACAAAAAGAAAAAAATGTGTCTATTTCAGAGTTGCTTATATGTGTTTAGGGATTCTGGTGGTTCTTCAAACCACTGGAAGTGTGTTTTGTACATCTGATTTGTATCCATTCAGTCTATCAGATTCAGTCTGTCTGTTACATGGTTCCTGCCAAGTAGGGCCACTCCCTTGGGATGTCAGACTGGAAGGTGTCCTCTGTGTCCTCTGTTTGGTAGCTCATTTTCCTCCATTGTCAGAACCTTTTTTTTTTTTTTCTTTAGACTGCTATTACAGAGTAGATATGGAGTAAATGAAAGCACCTGTTAGGTGCAAGGAGGGGCTAAGTCCTAGGACACTCCTCAGAGGATGGAAGTCAAGATTGTTCCAAAATACAAAATATTTTGTTGTTGTTTGAATAACAACAGAGAGGAAAGAAAACATAATTACTAGTAGCAGCAGCTTGAGATATCCTGACTGGAACCTGATTCAGCAGATAGAAGACTTTGCTAACCACGGTAACAGGAGGAGGCTTCAGCCTTCGAGTAATTCACCCTTTAAGCAGGCAGCAGGAAGTTAATAGAGTGGTGATGGAATTTGTGTTTAACCCTTAGAAAAGACAAAACAGATGCAAAGGTTGATAATGACTGAAAAACTTTGAGATTGAATTTTCACGTTTTATTTCACATCCCACTAACTTAACAGAGAGCAGTTTGGCACAGATCTTAATCCTGATCTGTTATTTTCAGATGCCCTTTCCATGAAACAATGCTGAAAGAACACAAGTTATTCAGTGGATGAGAAGTAAGCTTGGTATTCCTCTCTGATTGTTAATGATGTAACTGTCATGTATTGACTACAATAAGCATGTGCAGGACTCTGCAGATGAATGCAGTTGGAGAAGAAGGTAACAATTTTTCCAATAGCTGCTTTGTTTAATAAGGTCATTTTAAGATATTTATTCCATAGTGAACTTTCAAGGGATTTTCAGAATCTCTTTTAAGTCTTCATAGATGCTGAGCATATTGTAAATTGGGAGCATTGTTGGTTTGTTGTGAGACTCAAACAGGTTATTGCTAGAAAAATAACTGCAGTGTTTAGATAGTATTAGCAGTATAGACTTACAAAAAAGTAGTTAAGAATTTAAAATCTTCTGCGGGTGTAATTAGTGACTATCTTTAAAAAAAAAAAGTTCTTAAATTTATAGACAGAATAAGAGAATATTTTTCTTTCATGAACTAGAGCTCCTTCAATACAAGTGATGGTAATGGTGGTCAAATTTTCATCTTAACCAATTACAGATCTAGTACGTGAATCATCATCACATATTCCTTGTATAATTATCATTTCTGTCCCATACTTCATGTTTAGATGAAACACAATTGCTTTTATTCTATCTTTTTTTGTGATGTGACCTTATCAGAGAAGCAAAGAAAGGATAAAGTTGTTTACTTCATTCTAGCAACTAATAAGAACTCTAGGCTTTATTTCAGACAGGATAAAACTTACAAAAGGATTTCATGGTAGATTCTGAAGAAAGAAAAATGGCCTGAACTGAAGAGATACTAATTCCTACTGTACTTTCAACTACCACTGCCATTTATGGAAGCTGATACTTAGAACTGATGTTGAAAAACAGAGTTCCTAAGAGAAGGAAAAAATATGTCTTGTATCTCCCAGGGATGTGTATACACCCACTATCAGGTAGGTAGATATATGTATATTTTTGCTTATGTATTGTTTGCAAGTAACATTTTGCTTATAAGTTTCCAAACATTTGGTCATCTTTGTGCTTTGTGATAGGTCTTTGACCTCTCCACTTCTGAGAAGCAAAATGTGGTAGCCAACCATTTTAATGGGTGGCCACATCTGCAAATGATACAAAGTAATGAAGTTTCCACTCCTTCCCCAGGGAAAGCCTGATTTATGGTTCCATTAAGATTCTAACTCACCGAAGAAAGTACTACCTGGTGGGATAATTGGCATGGATTTCTTTCTTTAGTGAGTACTGAAAAAACAATACAGGTAAAGGCGTTGATTTTTTTTTTTTTCTAGGGTGCCTGAATTCATCCATAAATGGTCATGTTTCTGCTGAAAGGCGTACAAGTGAGAGCATTCTGTTACATTGGGCCTCACTCCTGAAGCTCCATTAGACTGCAGTATCAGCTTGAATGTCTAACATGTCTGTGAGGGTACCTACTAATGAATGTGAAGTCAAGCACAATTTTGGAATAAAACGAGGTTTCTTTTTATGATCGTGTAGGTATACATGCATGAAAAAAGATAATTCCTGTCTAATGATCTAAAATGCAGTCATAGGCACAGATGGGAAAGCGTGAGTGCTGCTAGGAGTGATCCCAGTCATATCTGGAGTGGGATGGCAGTGGCCTTCTCCATCTCAGAGCTCTTGCTGTGTCTCTCCTAGCAGAGCACCAGCCTTCCTCAGTAGAGGCCAGCCCAGCAGGAGCGTATTTCTTCCGGTGGTTTGGAGGGGCTCTGCGCAGACCTGCCAGCCGGGCAGGGTGTCAGTGTGCTGAGGCTGGAGAGCCCCAGTGTGCAGATCAGGTCCCCAGGCTCCCTGGGACATTGTCCAATCTCTCAAAGAGTGCAGTGTGTGAGTTTAAACACTCAACAATTAAAACTTTTCTAACACCCATAGGTAACTAAAGTAAATCCTCTTTAGACCATTAAAATGATTAGCCAAGCTAAGATTGTGGCCAGTCAGTGCTGGCAAAGATTACCGAGGACTTTTATTTTAAAATGAGAAATCTAACTGAGACTTCTTGCTAGGATGAGAAAAACATTTCATTGCCTTAATGTTGTATTGTACATATATTTCCACTTTAATGATAAGGGTAGCCAAAAAGCATGAAAAAATCTATAATTAGCTCCAGCTATATAAGTATAAATCCACATGCTAGTTAGCCTTTAGAAAAAGAGCCATTTGTGTTAAATTCATTAAGATTTTCCCATTAAAAGCTGAGCACCCATGAATTAGTTTGACAGAGGAAAAACTGCTGGAGCATTTGCTTAAACTTGGCTGGGTGTGCTCCCAGCCTTTGTCTTCACTGCAGGCTGTGCTGCCAGTTCTTTCACCCAGCCTAGCCACAGCCTTTGGAGCCCAGAGTGATCCGATTAACAGATGATGAAATATGCTAACTTGAACTGTGACTTGTGGCTGAAGTCCCACTGCATTATTACTCCAAGTAATTATAGCAGACCCTATTCTGTTGGAAGTCTTTATACTATCACAAATTTCCAAGCTTTCCTCAGAACCTGCAATACTGAACCTAGTTTATTGATAGCTTTGTTTTGAAGCAGTTTATACCATGACTTAGATGATCTGATTAACTGAGTTATCTGCTCATTGGCAGCTCCTTGAATTGTGGAGAATCCCACTATATTTATCTGTTTGTCTCCAGAACATATTCAGTTCTGCTGCCTTTTTTTGCTTTTTCTTTTTTTTTATTTTATTTTATTTTATTTTATTGAAGGCAAGTGTGCAAAGAGGTTTTAAAAAAAAGTTAACATTGAAGGAATATTTATAATTGTGTTTGAGTAGTAGTTTTTGTTAAGTTCTTGACTAATGTTCCTCACATCTTTCACTTGGTTAGTTTTTCTTTGTGTTGACCATTATTCATTATTCTGCATGCTTTTCTCTAAAAATTAAATGTAATTCAGTGAGAGCTTCTGATTACAACCCTGTTCATTATCACCCAAGTTCAGCTTGATTGAGTCACAGGAGATGGGGAGGGAAAGCTAGAAAAGAAGAAAGACAAGAAAAGAGATGGTGGCATTGTCATAAATACCTTACAATGCTTGTTGGAGCACAAAGAAATGAATTCTGTTACGAATAATATCGTGCTTCCCATGTATACTACAGTTAAGCTCCTACTTTGTTTCCAAATCTATTTATAGATCCTAGATTATGTGAAGTCCTCATGAAATTGTTTAGTACCCATGGTTACCAAACACATTTCATGAACTAACACAAATCTGGTGCTGTGATATATTAGCAGTTTTGTCCTTTCCTACCAGTTATTTTCTGGTACAAATCCTCAGAGGTATTACTAATAAAACTGAAAATTATTTCCTATCTTCATAGTAAACTGTATTTAACATTATTACTTCTGCCTGGTTTTATTTTCAGCACGGTATCATGGTGCTTTGGAAATGTAAATAATCTCAGACTGCATTATATTCCACTGAAAACTGTCAGTCTTTAGGATATACTGTTTCTGAGTTGATGAGAAACAGCTGAAAAGCCTTCATGCCTAAATATAAAACAGAAACTGCACCTAAGCCACATAAAACTGCTTTTTATTGTTGTTTTCTATTGAATATGTAAGCAGACAGCAGTAACTTGCAGCTGTGACAACTGTAGTGTTAGAGGTCCTGTGATACTTTCTTACCATAGTGGGAATCACACTTTTTTCTTTTTTTTTTTTCTTTTTTTTTTTTTTTAATGTTTTGTGCTTTTCATCTGGTGATTCAGGGAATGTGTGAAAATGAGGCAAGGACACTGTGTCTTACGGGTTCTCTGTGATACAAAGACAGGAGTATTTACCAAAGATCTGTACAGCTACAAATGATTCCCTCCGAAGGGTTACAAGTGAGGAGAAGAAAAAGGACATAAATGGCATAATACAATGAAATTAAAGCTATTCTTTTTCTATCCTATTGCTTTTTTTTGTTGTTGTTGTTCTCTCCTTTTTAGTGCTTTTAACTATTTTTTGTTTTTCCTTTTGTCTCCTTTTTTGTCACCTTGGATGCCAATCTCACATGCACATACAAAAATTGTGATGCCAATGTGAGTTGTAACTAAAAAAAATATTTACAACCTCTGTTAGTTTTATCAGCTCCTTTCCTGTTTTCCTCTAACAATCTTTTAATAAGTGCTATGTATATCTAAATAAATCAAGTAGCAAAAGCCAACATGAAAGCCATATGTATGAGTAATTAGCAGGTACAGCCTGATTGCCATCAGGAGTGGGTAATGTGTCAGCACTAATGGGCCACTCCACTGAGCAGGCACTATAGTCTCAGCAATTCTGTTGTGCAATACTGTTGTCCTGGGCATTTTCTGCTTTTCTTGCTAACAGCTCAAAGTAGAACCTCAGTTTAAGCCAGGTAATCTACCTGATCCACACCTGCACACTAAGGAAAAGTAGTTGGGGAAGGGAAGATTTTGGTGTAGCGTTAATATTTCAGACATATGTTATAATAATCTAGGGCTTATATTATTTTCCACTCTAATCATGCTACTTGTTTTTAAACAAAAGCTTACAGAAATTCATTCAATTCACAAGAGAGCTGAAAAACTGTAATATGTGTATTCCTATGGACTGTTTATTATATTATTGCAATTCATCTCCCCCTTTCAGATATGTGTGTTATACAGGAAACACAGCAACTGAAAACATTTCTAAAATGCCAAAAGAAAAAAAAAAAAAAAAAAAGTAAATTGTTCATGTGGAACTTTATTTGCAGACCATTAGAGTTTGTTTGTTTTTGTTTTTGTTTTTGTTTTTTTTTCTCGTTCACTCCTAAGCAGTGTACAGGGACTGTTAGGTGCAGTGTTATTTATCAATTGATAAAAAAATAGCTTTCTGCTCACTTCTCTCATCATTTATGCTGCCATCAGGGACTGAGAGGCTGAGGCAACCAGAGAGAGGGTCACATCCTGATGACAGGTAGCAGCTGCTTCTGCCCTGGCTTGGCCGTTTGCATGGCCCCAGGCTGAGCTCCACCTGCAGCAGCTCCTCTGCCCTGCAGCCCAGTTATTTTAGACGGGCTGTGCAGAGTGCCTTCCCATCGAGAAGGACTAAACACCCACTGTGCATGTACAGGGTTGCTTAGGAAAGGAGAGAATACTTGATCTTATGCTGCAAACCACGTTATACCTGAAATAAAGAGAATTTTCCCTTCTTTTTTTTAGTCTGGCTGCAAGGTTCAGCAAGCTTGGCAGGGCTAAAGTGTGGAAAGTCTGTCCATGGGATATCTTGAGATCTGAGACGCCAACAGCTATTCACTCTTCATCTGATACCTGTCTGGGGAACAGCACGTGAAAGCAGACCAGAGCTGTTAAGGTAAGAGTGTGAAATGCCCCAGCAGAGAGCAGGTGGTTGTTCAGTAAGGGAAATGCATTGAAAATAGACATGTCCAAATGACAACGTGGTGAGCTTTGCTCCTCACCCAGCCATGTCCTGTCTGTAATGTGGTAAGTGTGAAGCCTCCTTTGATGAATTAGCACCTGCTATGCCTGTCAAAGAGGCCACAGCAAGGTGCGGTTAGAGGGCTGAGGCAGAAAGGCATGCTCCTTCCTCTCCTTCCACAGACACAGCTGCATGGAGCATTTCAGCCCATTACAGTGGCACCCAAATCCCTGCTAACCCTGCCTTGAGCAGGCCCAGTCCACTAGCACAGGCTGCAACAGCCAAAGCACATTTTCAGAAACTGCTCTTTGCTGCCTCCTGTCTAAATACTGAATCTTCATGAACTCAGACTCCAAGTTATGTCAAGCCGGGATGCTTGTGTGTGAATCTGGGTGAATGCTTAAGATATGTAAATCCAGGACCACACTAAGGTGACAGTATTCATGATCTGAGTCTTGGTATACTGTTGACAATCTGATCTCAGCATCTGTTGTGTGAGATGATTGGTATAGCTTGGCTTCACGTCTAGCGTTAGGCTGAGCAGAAAGATGAACATACTGTGTGGATTAAGGTAAAGCCAAGAACAAGATTTCCATTAATGTCACTGGAAGTAGGTTTGTCCGCAGCATGATCATGCACATGTGAAGTTTCTCCCTGTGAATCGTTTATTCTTTTCCTTCCATACACTCTGCAGTTTGGTGTTGTTGTGTTTCACTGTGATTTATATGAAAAATGTCTGCCATCACACCATTCACAGTCTCTGGACATTGCTCTTACTTCATGTCACTGTCATCTGAGTAATGTGAGATCACTTCCAGTATGGACCAAGACGAATGAAAAGTCTTTGAAGTTTAATTACTTATCTGTCTCTCCAGAATGTAGAGTAAGTAACTTTAAGTACACTGAGTATGAATAAACATATTCATGGAACAATAGAAGAAACAGGAAAAAAAAATGCTGTTAGAGAAAATATGATTAAATTGGAAGAAAAATGGATGATGCCCACTTTGAATAAGAACTTTTGGATCTATAGTGATTTGTAGTTTAAAATTCACACAATTTCAGTGTAACATATAGAATCATATCTTATAGAATCTTAGAATTTTGTAGATTTTCATAACTTACAGAATCATATTGAGGACCTAGTTGTGGGCTTTAAGAAGTTCTGTGAATAACAGCAGGAGCAACTCCGTTCATGTCCAAAACTAATCACAGGGAACTTTAAAAAAAATAATAATAAATTGTAAGCTTAAATTGTGAGGTTTTGTCTGTTTGTTTGTTTTTATTTGGTTGGTTGGCATAGTTTTTGTTTGTTTGTTTTATATGTGGACAGGAACTCTTTTGTAAAGTGTTCCTGTCAATGTCCAGAGGGACCTTAAGAAGGCCAGTCCACTTTCAGAATAAAGAATAAACAAAAGAATTTACCAAAATCTTGAAACTAAGCATCCTTGAGTCTCAGATAAGTTATTTTGGTTTCTTCAATTTTATCTTGTCAAAAGTAGTGAGATAATTGGTGTCAATATCAGTGATTTGAACTGACCATCTCAGCTTCAGATTTCAGCATTTTATGAAGGGAAAAAAGAAAAACTTGCTGCTATATTGTGGTTTCCAGAATTCTTAAAGACGTTTTTGAGATACTCACCAAGTTTTCCCAGCTGTACACTGGGGAGGATGAATCCTACAGCAGTAGCTATTTCAACCCACTCCATGTTCAATTTTGTTTCCTGATCCCAGCAGAGCTGGGGTTCAAGCTGAACTTTTAGAAGTAGAATTTGGCTGGGTTATATAGTAACCACAACAAGTACATTCATCTCTTACTAAGTATTTTCATATTTAAAATGAAAATTTTAGTAATGGTTTTTAAAGTGAAATTAATGTTTCTGTAGTTTAATTGTTTCATAGGGGAAAAAACAAAACAACAACAACAACAACAACAACAACAACAAAAACACAATGGCAGCAAAGAAAAGACCTAGAAACTTGCCCTTGCAGGGGCAAGTACTTTTGCCTTTTACCAGATTTTCAGTTAGAAGATTATATATGCTGTTCCACTGGAAGTCAGAGATGTTGATCATGTCAATGAAATCTCACAGCTTCCGCGTGTTGCTGAGCACGATCTTAGATATCATCAGCAAAGAAACTGAGCTCCTCCCAAAAAGAGGTAATTTGCTTTCCAGCCATGAAAATGCAATATTATTAGTAGAAGAGGGGAACTATGAAAAATCTCCAAGAGTGCAGGTGCATTACAATAAAACCTGAGCAAACAGACAGGATTTTATTTTAATTCTGATTTTCATTACACTGTTTCTCTTCACCTGGCAGAATATACTTGGGACGTACTTTTATTTCTATGACAATTTTTAATCCCTTTTAATTAAGAATAGATTGGATCTCCACAGTTGTAAATAAATCTTCAAGCTTGCTGTCCCAGTGAATTCAGTGAAGACACCAAAACTTCTAGGGGCTAGAATTAGTATTGTTTTTTGTGCAAATTGATGGGAATGGTTTAGGACTAAAAATAATTAAACACTAAGGAATATTGCTATTGCATTGTTTGTATTTCATGATATCACTATGTGAAATTTTTCTCTTTGAAATCAGTAGAGGTTTGCTTTTGACTTTAATGGAGTTGGATTTAATTTATCAGATGCTAGAGCTTTCAAAATCAAACAAACTTATTTTTCATTACAGTTTATTACAGAAAATGCTGACCAGGATTATATCCCCATATGCATCTCTTGAAAGGACTGTAGATGCATTTGCAGATGTGGATGGACTGCAGGTTTGTGCATCAATTTTTAGTGCTCTCTGTGAATACTGGCTTCATTTTCCTTTTCTCTGGGGGTTCAACATGCTGTTTACTTGACAAGTGTGATCCTTACCTCTTTGTGGTAGAAGACATCATATTTATATATATATATATGTTTATATATATTTATATAAATATATGTATATATTAATGTATATATTTATTAATGTATATGTGTGTATATATATATATATAAAAATATGATGTCTTCTATCACTTGTATAGGACTCTGACTGTAACATCTACCAGCATGCTCCTGACACTGCCCTCAACTTTCAGGTTTTAAATGAGTTGAATGTGTTTTGTTCTGTTTTGTTTTTTTTAAATTTATTATTGTGTTGTCAGCGGGTTAATTATCCCCTTCTCATTGTTGTCCATACCACTGCAGTCATTTATTTGAAACAATTGATGCTTGCTATTGACACAAAGCTTCTGAAGAAATAATGTTGCAGTATATGCAGGGATTCAAAACCATTTAATCTTTCTTTTTTGTGGTAGTTTCCTTTGTCTGCTTAATTTTATTATTCATGTCTTTTCTCTTTTGCAGAAGGTTAGTTGCTATTCTAACAGTATTTTATTGCACTGTCTTGTCATCATAACTCTGTGCTGTCAGATGCTAATCTTTCTGTCCTGAAAGCTTCCCACTATCTAAGACATTAACTGCATGTTCTAACTCCCAGTTATCTTTATGTTAGCTAGACTCTATGTACAGTTAAATGTCTGGAGATATGTTTGTCTGGCATCTCTTGAGCCTGCTGAAAAGAGTATGCCAAAGGGGAAAGTGTTTCAGTGAGATTTTTCTTAAAAAATTTTAGTAATTTGTCATTAGTTGTCTAAGCACATGCAAAACTTTTTCCTAAAAGGAAGTTTCATTAAAGACTTCCTTGCTTTGTTGCAACACCATTTCCCATTCAACACTGGCTGTATATTCTATATTACAGTGCCAAAATATTTGATAGCAGAAAGGATTTTATTTTAATGTTTTATCTATTTTTGGCATAAAGCATTCTTTAAGTGGTATCATCTAGCCTTTCCAGGAAGCAAGTGTATCCTCTGGTAACACATTATCCACATGTGATAATATAATATCAAGAGGCCTCAGAGTTATTGAGGAAAGAAACCCAGGCTGATATTAGGGGAGAGTTTGCCCGCCAGCCATGCCCAGTCAGGGGTGGCTTCACAGCTCCAGTCTCGGAAGACTGAGCAGTCTCTTGAGCTGAGGCTGATCATCCTTGCTGTAAGCCCAGTGTTCGTGAATCCTGGACTTCAGTCATTATTTCTGTCACTCTGATATCCTGGCAAGCAACAAGGAAGGAGCAAACCTGACATTTAGCTCTTAGTCAAGAGACCCCCTCATACATAAATGCAATTATATTGGGAAATTACAGCATATAGTCTATCAATATAATTCTAATTTTACCAGACAATATTTATTTTATTTGGCTTGCCATGTGGTCTTAGAAGTGCTAAGGCCACTTCTTAGGCAGAGCCTGAAAGGAATTTCCTCTCATTTTATGCTGCAGCTCCATTCAATATAAGTCTATCGCAGTTCTTCGTATTCTTCTCCCCAGACAGAGTTTAATCAGTATTTCCTTCTAAAATGAAAATAATTCTGAGATATGATTTGGGAGACGTTTTCTAGGAAAGAAGGGGTGTGTGTTCCTCTGTGTGAGTATGTGTGTAAATAAATAAAGCTCAATAGAATCGTCATCTTATGTTTGTTTGGAAACTATTTTTTCCTCTTAGATAAAATGATGTTTCTCAGTATTGATCCTTTGGTTCCTGTAATTGTACTGCAATAAACCCAAACACTTTATACAGTTATGGAATAAAAACTGGGCCTTAACTCTTGCACTTGGTATAGAGTGTCACATAGGGATGGGTCCTTATTCTTCTTCATTTGTTCTGCAGAACAATTCTAAAGTGCTGATTTTGTAAGATGGCAGTCATTTCCAGAGAGCTCGTGATGTTGCAAACACAGAATTATGACTTGACGCCTGAATTAAGCAATAGAAGAACCTGGATTCAAGGGGTTAAGGTATTTTCATACATGTATGAGTACCTAAAAGTGAATGAAGAAAAAGCAAGAGAGAACTGTCCAAGTTAACTTCTTCTTCTGTAAATGTTCTCTTTTCTTTTTGAAACTTGTTGCAGTGAGAAGGCTCCACTTTATTTACAGCGAACTCTAATAGAGTTTCTAATGAGTCTGAAAGGCATAAAGCATCCCAGACACACAGGCTGTCTGCGGGAAGCCAAGCAAGTGTCAAACAGGTTCCTCTTTAAGAGTTAAGGAGATTATATGCTATTATAGAAGCCCACTGTGCAACTACTTCACCTTCATGGTCACAAATTGCTACTGAAATCCTCCTATCTGGTAGTATTTGATGAAGCATGTAGCATTTTGAATCACAGTGGACTAATGCAGTTCCAAATGGCTCTTTAATATTTTAACTGGATGAAATGCATCCGATAATTTCTTGTCTCAACAGTGTCTATTCTTTTTTTTTTTTTACTTCCAGAAACTCTAAGGCAGTTAAAAATATACAATATTGATAAAGTGATTCTTTAGCATAAGATCTTTTATAGTGCTTTCCTTGGTGGCTTTGGACTTTCTTTTCTCATCATAGCTCTTTGGAGCAGTTGAGCAGCCTCATTGTGCTGGGCACAGAAAAGCATGAAATCACAAGCAATCACTTTGCCATTGTATTTGGAGACTAAAAGGCAGGACATAACAAATGAGGCCTTGAGTCAGATGAGGTAGCATCGGATAATGCAGCTAAACAGTATGTCTAGTACAGTTTAATTGTAAATGAAATCTCGGCCAGCTGTCCCTTTGCCAAGCTGTTTGTCAGGGCAAGGTCTTGATTTGCTTTTCAGGTAGCATTGATTTTTGTTTGTTTGTTTCCATGCATTTTTAATCTTGAATTATTTTTTGCATGCAGTTTTAATTACAATACAGTCTTTTATGCAGCCAGGAATGCAAGCGGAGCATACCGTTCATCAGAAAACTCTGCCTGAACACTTTGGTATTTTCTTCTCTTTACTCCCTTCCTTCCACCTGAATGGCAGGATCCTGGCAGCACACATTTGTATCAGTTTATCAATTTTCTAATGTAAAAAACAGTGTATAAGGATTAGATGGAGGTCCTGAGATGACTCAACTATTGGCTTGCATCTCTGCAGCAGAAGGCTGTGGTTTCCATTTCTACTTCATGTACTAGGCTCATACCCAATGCTTGGCACTGTATTTCAGTGACAGGGGGTATTGCATCGTGGGAGATGTCATCCTGTAGATGACATGATGAACTCAGCTCTATGGTTTCTCCATCTGGAAATTAAAGCCCCAAGGAATTCTTCAGAAAGAGCAGGGGGTTTACCTTAGGGCCCCACCAATTGTTCCTCAAATTATTCCTGTGGCAACGTGTGTGTGAGACGTTGTTCAGCCCATGACAACTGTGTTTCTGCCTGAAGAGTTTTTGCAGCATCACTGTCTACAGCATTTCCATCGGTGCACTGCATCTGTTATGCCATTTGTAAAACACTCAGAGTTCTATTAACAGAGTAGAAATTTTTTCTCTGTGCTAGTGACAGGGATTGTAACAAGTCAGCATTGCTGCTGCCTCCTCTTCCTCTTTTTGGAGAGACCTATTCTTCCTCTGCTGCAGCTGCTGGGTGAAAGGCAGCATAGAAAGCTGTGTGTGGCACCACTGGAGCGTTTAAATGCATCTTTCAAGGGAAATGATGTAGATGATTGCATATTTTCAGTGATATGGAGACAAAAATGCTGTAATTATTGTGCATGTTGGAGACTGTCACAAGGGGCCAATATAAACAGTTTTAGAAATGTCTCTAGTAAAGAAGCTTGATGTATCAATGGAAAAAAGAAGATTTTTAGTATAGATCATTAGCATATTTTGGTGTTAAGCTACACTTGGAAATTAAATATTAAAAAAATCCTTTTTCTTCCTGAAGTCTACGCAGTGAATGTTGTCTATGTCTGTCCATGCGAACTCGTCATTACCCCATCCTTTCCATACTTCTCTGGCTTTTTGCTCTTGTATCCTTTCCTCCCCCTATAGCTTTTTTTTTTCAGAATGAAGTTCTCCTCCCCCTCTTTGCATTTAATTCTTTTAGTTTCAGAAACACAGAAAATGCTTGACCCTACCTATAAGGAAACTGTGATCATTGAGGACCAGACCTGAGTCCTGTGTTTTCATCCTCTTTGACAGGGAATGTGGTGAGGAATCTGCACAGACCTAGTCACAGTCCATGAGTGAGCTCATTCTCCCCCAGTCAACTGATAGTAAATTTCAGATGAATTTGGGGTTAGATACACACAAAGGAAATGACACTGATTGTTCAATACTCTTTAGATTCACCCCTTGATATTATACAGTAAAATATTTCATGCAATGTGTTTTCATGTGTTGAGGTCAGAATTTACTCCCTTTGGTGCTGAACTGATTATATGATCATTTCAAGATCAAGATACTCTTTTTCCAATGGCTTTCTGTCTATCTACCTTCTGATAACTAAATGCTATTAAGAGCGAAGTTTTTCCCTAGGATTTTAAAAAAACATATAGCCTGCAAATTCTTTCAATTTTTTTTTGTTTGTTTGTTTGTTTGTTTTTTTCCCCAATTTCCTTTAGAAGTCTGCTTAGGAACCACAGAAAACCAAAGCTGTAATAATATGCAAAGTCCTGAATCATGCATCAAAAAGAAGTGATTGGCAGTACTCTGAGTGCAATTTGGATACTGATAAGGTATTTAAAAAAAAAAAAAAGACCACAAATGAGATGGGATTCTGTCAGTTTTAAGTACTCTAGGATGGTATGGTTTCTCTTCAAAAGTGATTTAGGCACTTAACATGTAAAATTTAATTTCAGCCAAATCTGACTTTTCACACAATTGAATATTGCCTAAAAGCATTAGGGCTCTGTATCATTGTTCTATTAGTGATTTCTGAGACTTCAGCCCTGTAATATTCTTACTAGACTGTGTTTATTTTTAATGTTTATCTAGTAGGTGATAATGAATGTTTGTGAATGTGCATAGGTTTTATGTGAACAGAACAGAAGGTTGCATAAATGAGTTCCTATAAACTAATCTTTCTTGTAAGCTTAAATATTCTTGCCTTTAGTGACTATGAATATAAATAGCAAGCAACTACTTTCCTGATGTATGACAGATTCTTCCATTTTCACCTGAAAGCATATGGTCAAGGACAGCTGAGAAGGAAAATGACATTTCAGGCTTGAGAAGCTCTTAGGTTAAAATGTTGGTTGTCATCTGTCATCTGAGTAACTGGAGTTTAACTGAAAAATATGTTCTTTTCTGTTACGTGGATTGATCGATATATACATATATTTAAACTACAGGTATTCTCTCAGTGTTTTCTTGGTTTCTGACTTTTCAGTGTTATATGATCAGAACTATTACAGGCTGCACAAATGACTAATAATTAGGCAGTTTGCCTTATTCTAGCATAGTTTGATGTTTAAGAAAATTATCAGAAATGGTGACCAAGACTGCTGGAACAGACTTGAGTTTAAGTAGCCTAAATAGTTATGTTAGTGTACAGAATTCCAAATCTGTGCTGGGTGTATGATCCCTTTGGGGATCGTGAGGCACCGCAGAGTGCTGTCGTATCCTTCTTGCAACTAGAGTTTTGCTGCTCCTGCAAGTCAAGTGTGATCACCTGTCCTGTTCATAAAGATGTATAATACTGGTATTGCATTACAAGTATAGTTTTGAACATGAGGTTCAGGCTACTGGATAATGCCATGGATTTATACCACAGCAAATACAAACATTTTGGCTAGGTATGAATGGCACACTTACATTAGCTACCTATGCAAAACCACACAGGTTGAGTGCTTTCCTGGGACTTAATTGCAACCCACAGCCAAACTACTTCAGTTACTCTCCAGGCTTCTTGGGAACTCTTTAAATACTTGTGTTCTCAGTAAATTAGATATAGTGACAGCTCATTATGCTAAAAATATTCTGGGAATGGGTTGGTTAGCTTTTTCAAGCTATGAGATGTTTACATACTACAGTAAATGATGACAGTGACCAGGCAGGGCATGAAATGTCAGCCTTGTGGATATCAGTGGAAAACATGCCTTCTCCACCCTTCACCATAAATCTAATTGTAAAGAGAAAAAAAAAAAAAAAGTGTTTTAAAGGTATGCTATGGTGCTTATTATCCCTAAGCAGTGGATACCAGTATCCTACCAAGAATGTCATCATATTCTAAACTCTGAATCTTGACAGCCTCCTGGAAGGCACTTTTGAATCTTTCCTGTCTGAGCTCAAAAATAACTACTGATGAAGCTTGGGAAAAATCACTTCAGGAAGGTATTGGCAAATGAGAAAAAAACATGGTGTTTTGTATTAAGAAGAAGAAAATCTTACATCTTTCCTGGTAGTGTAACTTTTAAAGTAATAACATTTTTGTCCCTGTAATTCTCTTGACACCAAACTCAGTTGAAAACCCTAAATTAATTTGTCTTGCAGCGTGTAGAAACAAGTGCGCATACATCTTCAAGAGAGTCTCGTGTGAGCAAAGTTGAATATCAAATAGGCTGTTACAGAATTTTATGTCGTTTTCTTCTTTAAGAAAAATTTGGCAGTTAGATTCTCTGCCAAACTTTTAGTGGGCTAAAACTCAAAGATCTCTACAGATTTCTGGAAAGATGCCACTTTGGAACATAACTTTTACCAACAGGGAATAGAAGGAATAATCAAAACAAATTTGAAGTTTTAATAAACAAACAAGTTTCCATCTTCACTGCTTACATTACTGTTTCCCTCTGTTATGTTACGCAGGTATTACTAGGTTGCAGGTAGCAGATGGGATTCTTGTTCTTCATTAGACTTTAATATCACTTCATATATATTTAAAAATGTATAACAAGTCTCATGAATTCAAATGAGATGTTACAGTCCACAGCTACAACTGCAATAACAGTTGCACAGCTTTTAGAAAATAGCCAACTGCAGGTGTTAACTCATGAATATTTATACACATCAGTCATCATGCAAGCAGAATACAATTTGGATCTGATCTTACTCCCAGTACAATGGATAAAAAGCACTTGGTACAAGAAACAATCCTTCAAAAGACATCTTGGAAAAAAAAAAAAAATTCTTCCCCATCCCCATGTGTTTCTACCCCAAAAAAATGGGATGGGGGAGAGGGATCACAAAACAAAAACCTGACACAGTATTTCTTGAATTATTGATAGAATACATGTGTTTTTTTCTAAATTTGGAGTTATTTCTTATCTTAAAAGACATGTAAACAAACCAATTTTCACATGCAAACATTTTTTCAATTGTGTCATGATGATTGAACTTAGAATGCAAAAAATATTCAATTGTTAAATTTCATGAATTAAAGTAATTTGGATGATGTCTGTGGAAGTAAAAGCATCTGCATATTTTTTTATTTTTTATTTTTTTTTAAGTCAGTAAAACTTATATTTTAGCTTTATATAACTGGAAGGCAGCCAAATGGATTTTTCAGAAACACTCATTCAAGCCTGGAAGGTTTCAATTCCAAAATAAATTTTTGAAAGTGCTGGGGAGGAAAACAAAAGTAATTGAAATGAAATAAAAATTTTATGCATGTTAAGGTATGAGCTGCAGGCCAGATTCTGTTTTTATTTACTCCTTTGTAGGTGTTACAGTACTTCTATTATGTCACTAATCTGGTTTGAGTTTTCTCTTGTGGCATTGAGATCAGTATCATGCATGTGAGTGTCTGACAGAGCAGAATTGAAAAACAAGGAATTTTTATCTGGTGAGAAAGCCTGGCAGTTTGTACAAACCAGGAAAACATGATCAAAATCAGACTTCTGGAACTTATAGTTTCACTTGTGTCTCATTTTTACATAGCCAGAATCCTCCCCAAAAACAAACAAACAAACAAACAAAACGTAAACTAAAGATTTCATTACAAGAGTAGGAGAAAATGCTTGTGGCAATACAAATGCACAAACTACATAAGAATAAATGAGGTACATTTTATATCAATTTCAAATGTAAATAAAAGCTTGAAATATAATTAATGAAATTATTGAGAAAGACACATATCTGTTCTTTTTCCTAGTGGCTGTGGATGGGGAAACTCCTGCAGATCTGGTGCCTACATGCTCTCCCTTTTCCTAGTAGTCCATAATTCTTCTGCATTAGCAGGTAAGATGTTAAAGACGTGATGAACTATTTCAGAGGAGAACAATGAAAATAAGAATGATGCAGACAGCTAGCACTGCTGCAGCTAGTTGAAAAATGTCTACTCAGAAAGCTGCAACTACCAAAAGATACAGTAGTAGAGGTGACCTAGGCAGCATGCCCAGTGTAAGTGGTGCAGAAGAATATATTTTTATATATTACAGTCATATTTCTGGATTTCTTATCGCTGCTTTCAGCTGCTGGGCTTCCTTTGTTTTTTATCTGGATGTCCCCTACTCTTTCTGGACCACCAGTGATTGTGGTGAGTCAGAAGAACCCAGAGCCTGACAATGATGATGTTCTTTTGTGTGGCCCTGATGTCACAGCTGTAGCTGTATACAGACCTGTGGCAGGCTGCGATGTTGTGTACATCATCTCCAGATGAGAAGTTCCCCTACATATGCCAAGCATCATGTTGGGAAACTGGATTCATTAGCTGTATTACTAATACTTGCAAGGAAAAAGAATTACCTTGGAAATTATTTGCAATGTGTAGAAGGGCCAAGAAAAAAAAATTGCAGAAGTACTGTTTTAAAGGAAATACAAGACAATTTAAGTGAAAATTCTTTCATATATATGATCAGAGAAGTGCATTAACTAGATTGCCTGTCATATAGGCAGTTTGTATTTTCTCTCAATTTGTTTTTGTCAAATATCTTTGTAATAAAATATGTAGATCTCTTTGGAGAGCACCATGCTACATGGATAGGGAGCAATATCCAGGTGATACATGGCACTGTCATTAGTTTATTCGGGGTAGGGCAGCCAGTTTCCCTCATGATGTGTTGAGATTAATGATCAGGAGCAGCCAAGCTGGGATTGGTTCCACATCTAAGAACGGGTTTGCATCAGCTGCAGTAAGTAGCACTGAGGAGTTAGATGGCTGTTCGCAACCTAAGATCACAATGTGTCCTCATCTGGCTTTGGATATCAAAGTAGAAGCAGGCAGTGGTGAAGGCCATAGGTGTCTTTACATTGCCAGGGAACATATTTTATATTTGCTCAGTAACTGTAGCAGCTAACAGAAGTCTGCAGTATCTAGAGAAACAGCTTAGCACATATTAATTTCCTGAAATTGCCCAAACAAAGCAGGCAGCGTAATCAGTTTTCTCCGGACTCAAACGGCAATTACAATGAATGCAAAAAGGTTAAAAACATCTATCTGTACTTCTACAGAAAAGGGATTATGCCGCAGGTGTAACAACATAACATTCAGCTGTATGTGAGATGGGATTTGGAGCTCCATGCTACACTATGATTGAATTCATACAAAAGTACTGCTTAGAGAGGAAAGACATTAATTCATATCTTCTAATTAATTATCTACTGAACATGACAGAATAAAGACAGCATAAGAGAAGGAAAGGGTAGGAGTCATCAGATGTGGTAGCATTTTGTTGCCATAAGGAATGTTTCTTCCTCTTCAGTTACAGTTTTATGACTCGGCATTGCTGAGGTTGGTGATTTACAGCACAAAAGAGCAATGGGCTTACATGCAATCTAGTTACATTTGGATCTCAAGAAGAAATGGGGTAGCTGAATGTGCGTCATGTTCAGCTTAGTGATTCAGATGTAAGACAGTCTTCCAGAGAGACCATAATGTTCTGTCAGAAACTCCAAATGAAATGTACCAGAAGTACATTTCACAGGAGCAGTGGGGCTGGAGACTGATGTGCTCGGTAGCATCAAAGGAGGGAGATACATGTGGGGAAGAAAAGCTTTGCCCTGTCACCAGCAATGTGTTTTGACTCTGATGCATAACAGCCACACCTGGCTCTGGAATAAAATCTTTGTGCCAGAAGTGTAACTGCATGCAAGGAAACAGCGCTGTAGGCAAGACATTGCCATAGGTGTTCTGTGATTTCTGTTCCTACAGGTGAGATGGGAAAGCCCAATGTGGTTTGGGGCCCAGAAATCCGCACAATAGCAAGCTGAGGGAAGATCCCCAGTTCCTTCCAACCTCATCATTGAGGCTTGGCTATGCCTAAGGCACCAGCGGGGATGACAGGCTGTGCAGCGCCCATAGGGAAGCAGCCTGTGCCCAGGCAGAGAAGCGCTGTCAGAGCAGCTGCTACTGGCCTAGGCCAGAGGGAGATGCTGGGGCTTCTCGCACACTGTGGCTCCCTGTGTGGGGACTTAACGTAGCACCGCTACTCAGCAAGACGTTGGCACAGCAGCAATGCCGTGCAGGCCTGCCCACAGCTCCTGCTGCCAAATGACAGCGGGCTGGGGCCAAGGCACCAAGCCTTGTGCTCTCCCACCTGCCTGCAGGGCTGCCTGAGCTGCAAGGCTGTGAGCTGCCCGTTTTGCCCATTTTGACACAGAAATGGGAACATTTCCTTACGTTACAGCTTATTCTCCCTTAGTAAACTCCCTTATTCTCCCTTAATGTTGGTTTTGTCTTCCTTCCCAGCCAGTTTTCCTTGGTGGTGGTTGATAACAGCCGCAGGAGTTATGAAGCAAACCAAAACAGTGTTTTGCAACACTTAAATGCAGTACTTTGCCCATATCTGAAGAGCTTACTCACTGGCCGGCCACGCTCAAAGGATGCCGCAGCTCCATCCCACAGACTAGCGTTGCTTCCCTTCTCATCTCCTACTTCCCGAGTGGGTGTCTGCAGAGTGCCGTGATGGCATCGATCTGTTTTGACCATACCTATGTCAATCTGTTCTTCCAGCACCTTAGCAGGCGCCAGCCTTTAGTAGCTATTTCAAACTACTGCCACTGTGAACTGTGGAAGCATACAAAAAGTGCAACGGGTCCAAGCACAATGCAGCAGTAGGCAGGTTCGTTGCTAAAACTTTTATCTGAAATAGGAGTTGTTACTTGTATGTTATTTAAGTGTGCATTTAAATTCAAGAGGCAATTAGATACTTTTTTGGAAAGGAAAACTTGTAAATTATGTATCAGAAATTCATAGTAATTTAATACATGTGTTTTTCTGTACTTTTGTTCCTCAGGTGCTTACTATGAGATAAATTGATTCAAAGGGAAAAAGTGAGAGATACATAATTCTTGTGTTTAATATTAAACTAGGCTGAGGAAGAGCACGTGAAAAGCACACAAGGAGAGCACTGCAGCCTGCACAAGCCTGTAGAGGAGAAAATGGTGGAAAAACACGGACAGTACCCCAAGACCATATATTTGAAGAAACTGAAGAGAATACTGGCAAGTAAAAGAAAAACATGCTAGAAAACATTTTGGTATTTTAACTTGATTGTCAGCAAGTGACGTTTAGGTTACTTAATATGTATAAATTATATTTTTTTCCTTTTTTAACCAACCATTTATCTAGTTTATGTCCCAGCATGCTTAACTTCAGGCACTACTGGTAAACAAGAGTGTCAATAAAATAACTAATGCTTGCTTTATAGAGTTAATTTTCTCCCTTTCTCTTTTCTAAGTGACCTGGAGCTCATCCTTAAAACATGCCTGGCTCCAAAATTCAAGACAATTTATTTTTCTGTCAAGATAGCAAGGGATTTAGATATGAAGTAATATACTCTTGTGCTTTACAGTTAATACCAATTTCCTGCTTTTTCCTGATATTTTGATATCTCTCCTCTCCATGATCATCTCTGTATGCAAGTTAGAAAATACAGAAGCAACATAAAGACAAGTTTTAAAAAAAAAAGAGCACGTTAGATAGAGGATGCCAGGCTCTGAAATGTTTCCCTCTGCAGAGTTGCTCTGTGGTGCTCACTGAACTGATTAACAGATTCCAGTGCACTAGATGAGGTTCCTTCCAAGTGATACCAGACCATTTTTCCAGCCACTCTACATTTATCTATCCACATGACATTCCTGTGTGTTTGTATACACATTTATTTTACTGAACAGAACTGAAAGGAGAAATGTTACATAGAATTTTAGATAATAGTGTGTAGGAGCAAGAATGTGAAGTACTTTTGGATAAAAGCAATAGCATACTATTATTCCATTGTTAATAGAATATTTGTACTTGTTGGTTGGCCTTGAAACCATATGGAAAATCATTGTTGAAAATCAAAAGTGGTTCAGGAAAAGCATTTTTTTTCCAGAATAAAGTCATCCATAGTTCTTTAGTAGGTTTTGTTTGTGAATGTGTACATGCAGTTTTAGATGCAAAGGCATTCACGTTTCCCTTCAGTTTTATGAGTACTTAAGTTTTCTAGTTTAATTTATTGCTTTCATTAAATGTAACACAATAAGAAGTAGAAGGTGACTTTGTTGTCTAAGTGGCTAGAAAGACGTCTAAAATTCGGCAGCAGTACCATTTCTCTCCAAACCAATCCCAAATTCAATTCAAATTCCTATTTTTGGGTCACAAGTAATAATCTGTGATAATTGCATTACAGTAATTTAAACTACAGCTTCTTTAATCTCATATACTTTAAATGCATCTGAGGAAGACAGTTTGAGCTACAAATTTGTTTTCTAATATTGGAAGTAATGTATGTAAATGGCAACTAAATTATAAAGCTTAGCTTCATATTACTTTTATGGCTATGTAATGCTCTCAGTCAGATTGGTTTTACTTGAACTATACTCAGAATTTATAAAATTGCCACTTAGCATATGATTAGCACTGTTATTTGTTTGAGTCCTCATAATCATAGAATGGTATTTAGGTTTTTATTTCGACTGGCAATGAAAAAATAAGAGAACAAATATTAGGGAAATGAGTGCATTTGCAATGAGAGCTTGCTAATTTTTTATCAGGTTATTTTCCAGCTCCAAAAGTTTGGCTAGAAGACAGATCTAGAGACTGGGGACAGGCTTACATCTTAGTAGCATTTGAAATGCTACTCAGAGAACCAGGGAGAATGTTTTGTTATCGCTTCAGAGACTCCACCTTCTTAACAGGCATCTCATTCTAAACTGAAGCTAAGAGGAGAATGTAGAAAAGAAAGAACCATATAAAAACAGAACATCTTATTTTTGTGTTTAAAAAAACACAGAATATTGCGAAATGATTAAGGGAATTCCTACAAGGGCAGTAATTTGACCTTTTTGGCCTCTGCTAGATTGCATGCCCTCAGGTAGGATTTGAAGTAGAACAGCAAAAGTACATGAAAGTTCTCCAAGGAGAGATTGAGTCCAACACATTCTCCATTCTCGGTCAGACACTGGTTACCCTTTAATGGATGTGATTATTTTGTCAGCCAGGAAATCCTACGTAACAATAATGTCATAGCAGAGCAGATCTGTTGGATTTGCGTTTCAAGGAATTGATAAAAGTAATTATTTTTCTTGCTTAGTTTCTCTACCCAGGGGGTTGGTTGGTGTCAGTTTTTATCAAATGTCATTCTGATATGTTTGTGTCTCCTCATATTTGAGCAACTGGAACACTGATGTAGGGATACAGTGAACACATAGTATATCTCAGTGGAGCTAAACATTTCTTGTAATATTTTTCGCTGGGTAGTTACTGGTCCTCCTCAGGGCATTTGGAGTCTGCAGCACAGCTGTGGAAGGAATTCAGGCTCCAGACAGCAACCTTTAGCTGTGCTCAAGGATGCCTGAGGATGTTGCTATCTCTTCTTTCATTAGTGTTAATAAAAAGCAAGCAGGTAGTGGTGTTTTACATACAAAGTATTCTCTCTTGTCTAGCCTGGCTGCATCTCTGAATTCTTTTTGAAGCCTAACCTTCCTATTCAGATCCAATCACCTTCCTACACTGATTGTTTTCCAAGATTTCTTCTGTGTTGTGGTGCATTTAACAATGGAATTTGGACTTCAGAGCACTGTGGAGGTTTATATGTCTAAATCTCAGAAAATGTTTTGTTGTAAGAAAACTATGTTAATTTTTAAATTAATATTATGAGGTTCTGGGCACAAAGTCATAATGTTTTTATGTTTAAGAGGGAAAATACTGAACTGATTAGTATACATATTGGAAATATTTCTGTCTAGGAGTATATCCTGCATGAAATACATAGCCAGACATATGGCCAGTGAACCATTTATGAACCATTTAATTTAGTTGTGTTGCATATATTTTATGTTAGCTATCTGCACAGATATGAATTCTATAACAGACAAATTATCCAATAATCTCAAATAACTTATGTTCAGTGTTCCTTATATCTTTATGTTATATTTCATTTCAAAAGACTGACTGTTCTTCTTCATTGTTAAGCGTAAGTAATGTGGCAAAGACACCAGATTCTGTATTAAGTATTCTCCAGAGAATTCAGCAAGAAACAATTTTTGAGACCTAATTCAACAGGTTTCTCCAGTAACTTATAAACATAAATAGAATCATATCTCTTCAACTAAGGAAAAATCTGACCGGTCTTTGCGCTTTGTTATTTAATTCAAAATACACTTTCAAGTTGCAAGTTTCTCAGAGGGCAGAAGAGAAAGCTGACACTATTCAGCTGGGATGCAATCGTTATCCTAAGTATTTTTGGGAACAAAACACTTATCAAGGGTGACTAGCTTTATCGCGTAGGTATAAAAAGCAGAAAGGAACTGACATCTTCCACCTGCTAGTAAAAATGTATTTTCAGATACATTCACAACTTTAATTCACATGATGATAATTTAAATAAATTATTCTGGAGCATATCTGGAAATTCCCAGAGGCCAAGATGAGCATGAATGAGGACTGATTCTTAATCACATGTAACCTCAAGCTTTTCTGAAGCTGAAGCAAGTATACCTCTGTAGTGGTCATCTAGGAGAGCTCGTGAAAAGAAAGATATTTTAACTTAATAGTCTAATAACATTGTGGGGGAGACTACATTAAACCAGAAGTTTCCACCTTCAGAATCCATTGGATAAAGAACTGTGACCAAGAACTATTGTATCATACACTGAAGCTCCCCTGCTGAGATTGACTGTAAGTGATACGTAACACCCAGTTTTAGGAAAGAGCTGATTTTAAAATATGAAAGCAGCCTTGCATAAATGTTAGTCTCAATATGTTTTGCAGGTATAAGGGGACAGAAGAATAGTGGTTCCTTCATCCATATGCTGTGTAATCTATGTGTATAAATATAGCCTTAGTGTATGTGCATCTTTTGATTATCACTGCTCACTTAAACAACTGGTACCTTTAGTGTTGTGTGTGGTTTTTATCCTCTGTAATCCTTTAATTCTCTCTGAGACTTTGCACGTGTACTCTACAAGGCTTTGAAGATTAATCCCATAATTAAAGGACATCGTTAAATGATGAAATTTTTGCTTGCTTATACCTAAGTGCCCTGTACAATCTCCAACTATTAAAATATGTCTAAAAGAGTATTTTTGTTGAAGTAACAAAATACAAGCGAACATATTCAAAAAAAGGATTTAGAGCTGCTGTTCCATGGCATACCAGGTAAGTATGAACATTTTATTGTATGTAATGCTTTTGTTAGAATAAACTTCACTAAAAGTAAAGTTTAATTCATTAATTTAAGTAAAGAATTAAAGTTTAATTCATCTCTACTCTTATCATATGACAGTATAAACCTTTCTCATTTATTAAAAAGGCTTAATTTTACTCAGTACTCTAAGTAATAACTCACAATTGATTGAAGAGGTAGTGATATGTGCTGAATCAAAATCTAAATATCCTACATCACAAATCACTCCAATTTTTGTTTAATGCCTAGTCTGCCGATAGATAAGCAGGTCATCAGATCATTCTAGTGGAGTCCTATTTCTTCAGTTACTAATTTGTTCTGAGAGCTGCCTTCATTTGAGAAATCTGTCCCACATTTCCTGCCATAATAAAGTCTTCCCGCTGGCTGAACAATAATAGACTAAATAATCCTGCCTGCTGCCAGAATTCAGCAAGGCACAGATGGAAGTTACAGTCATCAGATGTTTAAGCAGCAGAATACGCTGCTTCTAGTCATTTTTTCTGAAGTGTTTCACCTGGGGGATAAGTTTATCCACTTGATCTCTTCAGTTTTGGCTTGAAATGGAACCCTGGTGGTGACTTTTTGTAGTTAATGGTCCATCATATATCATTAGGACTTCCCTTAACTTGCAACCATGGGGAAAAAAAATGATGTATTAAGATCAAAAGATGGATTCTGTCTTTTTTTTTTTTTTTTTTTTTTGAGATGAAAAGCCACATGTGATAAAGTGTTATAGAAATACTGAGCAAGCTTCTCTGTCGGGCGAGTAAAACCTTGAGGCTAGAACTGACTGAATCACAACAAATGTTTCACTAACTGCCAAAATATCTGTTGGAA